GACAAGCAGGTTGCCTGCATTGTCGGAAGTGGTGTTGGGGTAAGCCATCAGAACGCACTGGTGTGGAGCTGAGTCGGCTGGTAGAAACCAGCCACTTTGATCAGTTGAGGATACCATATTTCCGTTCGCTGGTGTCAAGATGAATAAGAATGTAAGTGAGAAAAAAGTAAGAAGTAAGGCATTTTAGCAACTGGGGTTACCTATGACGAGACTGGCTATTTATATATTTCGATGTAGAACGTAGTCCATTGACTAGCCACATCATCTTGCATTGCCATTCGCCCCTTTCCCCCTCAATTTCATGACAGGCTCCAACAGACGCCTGGTGGAATGTGATTATGAAGCGGGTCTCTGGCCAAGATGGTGGTTTGCGCTCGAGAAGACACGCGATTAGCTATGCCCTTTGCGGACATGTATCCCGACAATCCTTCACTGTCTCCAGAAGAGGAGGCAGTTCCATGGTCTCCGTCCAGAGCCTGTTATGAGTGGTATTCTCGGCGAACCAGTCTAACACCTGCTAATATGTGAGCGAATTTCATCTTCAAAACACGCAAGGTGATTAAAAAAAAGAATATTTAGAGCCAGAGTATTGAGAAAGTGTCTGTAGGTTGTTTAAGATGTCTCAGAGAACATATTTGTTCGAGTGAACGAGTAAAATATCAAAGAAAACCAATAATTTACCAATTCGGGATAATCATCCCGAGCACGAATGTGATTCCCCTGTGCTTCACTTATCCTAGCTTGACGCCCATGGTAAGCCGTTTAGAGGCTAAAACTATTTTTTTATATACATAAATCTTCTATGCATCAATTGACTCATAAGATATTTTCTCCTCATGGTGTAATTCATTTAATTCAAATTTAACCGTTGTCTGGCTTGAGGTTATAATATTGTTTTACTCTAGGGGAGGAGATGATCTTCCCGACTGCCGTACCTACGCGGGTTGCGCGTACAAGTATCTACACAATCATGATGCTTGGAGTCGACGGTTCACCGAGAAATTCTTCCCAATATATCTCTTCTTTACCGGAAATAGCTCGCTCTTCCCACAGAGAACATACCAGCGGCCTCACCTTTTGCCACATCAAGAGTGTGGATTGTTTGATGATGAAGTCGAGCCATGCTAATACTCTTTTTCGAAGCAGAATGTCCTGAACTTCAAAAAACGCCATGGCGACGGGCCACAGAATCGGAGAATAGGGTCGAGATTTATAGTTGGCCAAAGCTTCAATGTGATCAATAGCTTGCTCAACGAGGGGCTGCACATCGGCTAGTGGCAAGCCGCGCAGCCGTCGTTTGCAGTAAATGATGGAGCCAAAGTAAAATATTTGGGCGTAGTGATGAACCAGATCTTCTTGTCCCCGTGTTGCTGCCGGGATATGACAATCGGGCGGTATGGAAAGATACAATTCCATCTCAAAACGCTCCAAGTCCAGCGGTGGCTCCTCGCCATATTGATGGAGTCTCACAGCCATGGCAATCATGTTGCTCATCACCTCTAGAGATTTTTTGGGAAGCCCAAAAATGTGATGCAAATAGTAGGGCTCTAGCATAGTCTCCATCTCAAAGTGGAAATTGCCGTCTTGGGCGACCTCTTCTGATAGTATTTGTGATCGCAGCATTGTTGCTGTACTAACCAGCATCTGATACATGGTGATTGTAGATTCGGTGTGAGCCCACGAGGTCACATTCACTTTGTGGAGCCATTGAGAAGCTCCACGTAGATGGGTGAGCCAGAAGTTTCTCTCTACTGTAATTGGCTCGTATGTCATACATAGCAGAAGGGATGCTAGCACACTCTCTCGTTGGGCCGGGTCATCAACGGCTAGGTGATGCTGAAGATGGCGAATGCCTTGGTTCTGGTGGGACAGTGCCAAGGTTAGAAATTCGGATTTTTGGTCAACACTCTCTAGGTGAACGGAGAGATGGAAAGCAGCAGCTGAGGAGACAAGGTAGAATAGCACGACCGATCCTGTGGATGAAGAAGCTGGAGACATTGCTCCCGCATAGACGATGGGCACAAAAATCCTTTTCAGAGGGCTCATTGATCCTGGGACGGACGAAAGAGCGTCGCTCAAGTGTGTGACCCAGTATTCTATACATCTGAGCTGCAAACGCATGGGGAACAAGAGATCGATGTGCCTTCTGGCGGCCTGACATCCTGGGCTAGACCCTCGGTGATCTGGCGGTGGGAGGAGCCTAGGAACTGAGCAGGGAGGAATGTTCCTGGGACGCTCCTCGTCTTGCTCACCACGCAGCTCTCGAGAAACATAAGTCCTTGTATCTATTGAAGGGAGAAGAAACAATGGTGCTGAACTGCCATTGGTGGGCGATGTGATTTCTTCTGGGTTTGTTGGGATAGGTGGACTTGTGCACGTACTTGCCAGCTCCGATTGTGTTGCTTCAGCCTCTCGAGGGGTTTCAGGTGATGGATGATGCGGATAAGAAATTGGAGTCCTCGATTCCGAATCTCTTTGCGAGGTTGCTGCCTCCAACTGATGTCTCGAAGTGTGACCGTCCTCCACGTCAATTGGTGTGGCTGTCTCAACTCCAAAGTCCGAAAGGCCCCTCACAGGTTTCCACTGCACGACTGACCTATAACCGGGATATCCAGCGCACTCGAGGTTCGCATTGGAACACCGTCGACAAACAGGCCGTGTCTCATCACACTTTAGATGTCTAGACCTGCAGGTCATGCATCCTGAGAAGGTCTTGACTCTCCTTGACTGGAGTCTTCGGGGCTGACCACGGGGCTGTCTCGGAGTACCGGGCATGTTTGTGGCAAAGTTAGATTCCATAACTGCATGAGATCCGGAGAAACAGTCCAAAAACGAAAAGGGCATGTCGGACAAGAAGGACGAGATGATGGGGTGGAGTCAGGGTACCCACGTGATAAGTGGTGGGAAGCGGGCTGACTCGAGACTATGCCTTTTGAGGGCATGTATACCGAATCTAGCTGGCCAATTGAAATATTGGAAGAGGCAACAAGGTGTAACGAGGGCAGTGGGGAAGACGGACATAACCTGGTTATGTACCTACATACTGGGCATGTCAGTGCTTGGGGCACCTCCAGTTCCGCGAAGAATGACAATTGCTCATTGAGCATGACTATATTACAATCATACATCACCATATAATTGAATGAAAGGTATGATGTCATATCCTCTGAGGGTTCTAGCGCTTGCCCAAGGACCCCAGCCGGTAGAGCAGGCGTATCGTCAGCAGTATAGCTAGATAGTGAAATTCTTGTCGAGGGCTCGGGGCTTTTGTATACTTTATTCTTATAACATGGAAAATTGGTTACTTTATTCATAAGACAGGCTAGCTTATCTCATCTCCTTCGCGCTCCTTACGGGGCTTGTGCTTTTGCTTGGCAGTTGAACCCGAGATATACATGACAGAGGGCAGCTATTTCTGTGATTGCGCCGGGAACCCCACCATCCATCTCAATTTTCGTTCTCAATGTGTAGTAGGCTTGCGCTCAGATTCCAAAGTCTCTCCTCAGCCTCTTGGTCGTAGAGATGCGGGGCATATCCGGGATCGAACACGGCCGGATTGAGGGTCTTGGCTGGGCCCGCGATACTGCACTCAGACAGATACTTGCCGCCTTTTCCTTCTAGCTCAGCAGCTACGGCTGCCCATACCGATGTGGCAGCTCCCTGTTGGGGTGTCTGCCAGGCCTTGGAGCCCTCTGGGTCCTCGAGCAGCTGCTTCATCAAGGCCGGATCGCAGAACGCCTGGATGCCAGAAGAAACTGCGCCAGGGTGGACCGAGAACGCCCGTACGCCCAATGGCCCAAATACACGATCGATATAATTGGCAGTCCACGCGTTGGCTGTCTTCGACTGCCCGTATGCTGTAAATGGTTCATACGAGCCCGGCTTCTCAAAGTTGTAATCGTCGAACTGGAAACTGGATATCCGATGCCCTGTTGATGAGAGATTGATAACTCGCGAGGCTTGGCCGACAGTGCTAGAGGACTTCAAAGTTGGTAGAAGCAACGTGGTGAGGAGGTAGTGCGCCAAATGGTTGACCGCAAGTTGCCTCTCGAAACCTTCCTTCGTCTTACTATAGGGGGTTGCCATGATACCTTATCAGTGGCTCACGTTAGCAAATCAAGTTCTTGGAGGAGTGGAACTAATGGAACATACCGGCGTTGTTGATAAGTATATCAAGCTTGCTGCTGTTTTTGAGGAAGGAAGCGGCTGCTTCACGGACTGACTCAAGTGAGTCTAGGTCCATCGCAAGGACTTGGAGTAGGCCTTCGCCACGGCTGCTTTTGGAGATATCTTCTAATATTGCCTGCCCCTTACTGGCGTCTCGCGCTGTGAACCAAACGTCTGCTCCTGTCGCATGAAGGGCTCGAACTGTTTCGACACCGATGCCAGAGGTGCCCCCAGTGACCAGGGCAACGCGGCCCTTCCAAGTGCCAATAAGCGAATTGTCTTCGACAATCTGTAGCGCAGTAGGGCGGGCATCTCCGGGACCGTTGGTTGAGCGGTATGACTCTGCGTAGGACTTGGAGGTATTTGGCATGATGTATTGTGGTGAGATGAGATTCTACTTGTGGAGGAGGAAGAGGTTGCTCGTGTAGTTCGAGATGTGGTCTTGAATTGAGGAATATGGGAAGTTTATATACATAATGGAAACTTGCTAGACCCACGAATCGAATGTAGTTTCTTATCCTAGATTCCATTTCCATTCTCTGTCTTCGGACCTCAGTCGTGTGTAGGTGAACTTGTGAGCGGAAATGAGCGGAACTCTGCGCTCCCGCTCGATACATGTTCTCTGCCTACCTAATGCGGAATAGCCTTGCTGATCAATCAGCGCCAATTTCCGCTCGCCAACATATTTGATCTCTCACAGCTCCAAACACGGCGGTGATGCCCGCTCAAAGAAACATCTAGCCGCTTCCGCCGCTTGAAGCCTCAAAGTACAGTGGGCGGCAAGGAAGTCTTGAGACGAAGGAAGCCATTGCGGGCTAGCTCAGTCCTCTAGGATGACGCGTGCAAAGGCATTGCAATCATGCCAAGCTTGCAGGTGAGCCGCCGCCTCCGAATCGGAGTTTGAAGACAGAGTGCTAACGATTAGGAAGACGATTGAAGCGGAGGTGCTCCAAAGACGTGCCAGCTTGTTCCCTCGTAAGTTCAGGCACGACTTTTGCAAATGAATCTTAGACTTTTGGCCGCCTTCATACTAAGTTGTTTTTCTAGTGCATCCGACTCCAGAAAGAATGCGTCTATCCGGGGTTCCAGAGCCAGGATCAAAACATCCTAGTTGATGTTTTCGATAGACTCCGCCACTTGGAAGAAAATCTGGAGGCAAATAAGCGGGTTTCATCTCAGGCTTCCTTGCGTCAGAATACTGCTCAATCAATCCCCGGCACTCAGGGCATGAAAACGCCCTTTCCAGCCGCCTTCTTCCTAGACAATGACTCGTTTAGAGCCTTGGGAGCCAACTCTCTGTCATGGGGTCTCGATCATTCGCTGCAACAAGGGGCTTCAAATCTTCTCGGTGTAGATCGGGCAGAAGCGTGCTCGAGATATTTCTCCTCCGTCCACCCATGGCTTTCCTTCTTAAGCCAAAAGCGTCTGAATAACGGGGACAAGGGATCCTCAGCGGATGTGGATGGCTGTGAGCCACTTTTAATCTTGTGCTTTGGGCTCCTCACAGAGGAGTTGGTAAATCCACCACAGGGGTGCCCTCAAACAAGCAAGCTCTACTCATCAATAAGAGCAAGTGTGTCCGCGGCCGTAGACGGTGGTTGTGTATCGCTGAGGTTAGTGCAATCGCTCGTGCTCTTGTCTCTGTATGAGCTAGGCCATGCGATCTACCCTACCGCGTATCTCACTCTGGCCCAAGCTGCTCGCATGGGCATCTTGATGGGGCTTCAAAGTAAGGCCAAGGCCTCGAGACTCTTCACTCCTGCAAATTCATGGACATTGCGTGAAGAGCAACGGCGAACGTGGTGGGCCATTTTAATTCTCGACAGGTACGTAGGAGTATGGTCTAAGCCTTCCGGCCGGTCCTCTCAGATAGCATCAGCTTACGCGCTTAGCAGGTTCGCCAATATCGGCGCAGGAGGCCAATCCCTTTGTGCACCTGATCCCACCTCAACCGACCTGTTGCCGGTAAATGATACGTCTTGGGATGCTGGACAAGTTGTTGCCAATGAGCCGCTATACACGACCGAATTTTGCTGTGTGGCAATGGTTAGCCCGCTTGCTCGAACGTGCCAGGCCGCACACATGCTAGGCAAGATAATCCAACACGGCAGAGATACCGAGGATCCGGCTCACAGCCTGGCCGAGGCATTGCAAATCCACCGGGCCCTATCTTCCCTCCTCAGAAACCTAGAGCTCAGGGAGGACCTTGAGTCCAACGTTTCTGCGCTAAGTCTTTGCTGTTCTGCTATTTTCCTTCTCTATGATCGATATCAAGCCAACGACTCGGATGAGATGGTGCGGCTACCAGCTGAAACTGAGCTGCAACACCGCACACTTGAAAGCATTCGAGACATCGCTTCTAGCAGTGCGCCAAAAATTGCACAAATAATCCGAGCTCAAGCAAATCTAGTCAAGAGTCTGCTCAATGGACCCTCTCTCTACCGTGCTGCTAACATATGTGCCTGGTTCATCAGAGAGGATCACGACCCAATGATGTATGAGGCGCTAGACGCTATTGTGGCTGGATTAAGGGCCTTGCAAGCTCGTTGGCCAGTAGCCGGTAAGTGAAGAGCAAATCTCATCTTGAATCCCCATTGGCTAAAACCGCTATAGGAGAGTACCTGAATCTGCTTGACGCGGCTGGGGTTCTTGAGTTTGTGAAAACCGCATCCAGACTCCACTAGGAGCTAGGCTGATGTGATGTAAATAATGGTGAACGGCATCGGCGTGAGACGCAATGGTTGTCTGTGGTTGTGCGTGTTGATTGAGTTTGGTTATACGTGATGGTGTGTTGATTGAGGCTTATTAGAGGAGGTTAATGCGCCTCTCAGCCATTGGAAGAATCTAGTTGCTCCTTTGTTTACTAGCTTCCCATTTGAATTCCTCGTAGCATAGTATTAAGAGGGCCTATCAAACGAGTTCAACATCTGACATAACCACCCCATCAAAGAATCCAGTTCGGTAATCTCGCGCGATACCGACACGTCGGAGGCGCGAATCTTGAACCATCTCCACAAGAAGAAAGGCCGTTTTCGTAAGTTCCAAGGCGTAGACTGTCAATGAACCCTGTAGAACTCGGTAAACCGAAGATATGTAGTCCAGTTGCCCAACAATTTCCTGTTTCCTCGCTTCATAGGCCACGATGAAGCCGGTTTGGGCATCAGCGGAATACATGGGCAGCTCTGGTACGATCCAAAAGTTGAATAGAGGGTTCGTGGAAGATCTATCTCGTTGGCCACTAGCGTTCTGCTCAACAATAGAATCCCATGGACATAGACTGGCATCTTGATGCCAAAACGGCCTCAGCCTTGCCCTCACCCGGAGCCCAGCAATTCGTGAACCTTTGTAGATGTCATCGTCGGAAACTGTTTCAGAGGTATCGTAACTCCAGCTGCTTATGAACTCGAGACCTCCAAGAGTCTGAACTTCTGCCTCGTATTCAATGCCGTGACAGAGGGGCAAGGAGGCCCAAGACCAAGAGGGAAAGGTCTGGCTCGAATCGACTACTTCCTGAGGAACGAACTTAGCGACCCGCCATGAAAGATCGTGAGCCAACGTCAATTCCCACAGTCCAGACAAGTAAGTATTTTTCTGGTCAAAGCTCGACTGATACCTAGATGCAAGACCAGAAAGGGCGGGGAAGCGGTCATTTGGATTCGACATGTCTCGGAGTGTGTATGATGTAACTAATGATACCCATCCTCGGTGTCGGGTTTCGGCAGTACCATGATGACATGCAACTAGGAAGCTTTGTGGCAAGTCGTGTTTGGACCCGCTCAGCTTACACGCTGTTGTAGGAATCGAAGTCTCAGTTAGTTGTGCGCCAGCGCACGACCAATAGATTTTGTTGGGTGTCCAATATAGCACCCTCGGTGATAAATGCTCTTCTTGCAACGTCCAGGATCGCTTGGTCAATGGGGAGGACTTGAGAATCTCAGTTAATGTGATAAGAGGAGGGAGCAAATATCGCCCACGCAGATGACAGGACTGAGTGACCTGGGAATAAGCAGATCGGGGAGACAAGATAGCTTCAGTCGCTTTGGAGTTAGAACACAATGCCAGGGTAAAGAAAGCGTTGCCGTAGTAGCTATGCATCCTCGGTGCTTCACGCATGAAATCAGACATATTGCTCTGGCTTTGAATGATGCACACAGAATCAATCCATGCATAGGTCAGCCCTGTACGCCTGAAGATCGTGATAGCATCACGAAGAGTCACAGGGAGGTCTAAGATTGAGAACGCCTGGTGCCGCTGTTCTAGGTTCTCCATGGTAGTCATTCCTTTGTGCAAGAATTGACCGTCTTTCTCCGTGAGGGATTGAGACCCCCAGCAGTAGCTGAGGGCAGCATATTGTACTTGCTCATCCATGGAACATAATTGAAGCTCTGATTCAGAGAGTATACGAATCAGCCTCGTGGGGTTCTCTGAAGACCATCGCAAGACTGAACAGCTCTGTTTGTGATCTTGGTGACATGTCTCAGCCCAGGTCCTTATTTGTCGTGCTATCCATGGAGAATTCGCATTCTCGGGAAGGTTGAGAGAGGCCTTAGCCGTCGAAGAGGTTGGGACAAGGACAGATTTGTCTGAATGGTCAAGTATTTCGATCTTGAAGTCGACACTACTCTCTAGAAACTGCTCCTGGGTATCTTCTGGAGTACTGTTTCCTTGGTAGTTGAAGATGGGGCGCACATACACAGGACAATGCCTTGTGGTTGCAGTAAGTGTATTTGCCTCGCCCGTAGTCGCGCATCGAGAAAGAAGCGCTTGGCGAAACACGCGACAGGTTTGACATCTCTTTGCGCAATCTGAAAGTTCGGCAAAGTCGTTATGAAACGGCAGACGGCCAGTCGGGGACGGTGTGCCTTTCTTGCGCGATTCTGAATGGAGGTCCAGCAGGATCTCAATTTGCGAACATCCTCGGCAAATGGATTGGAGATCAACACCGATATTTGTCTTGCTATAGTCCGACTGCTTGCCCTTGCCCGAAAACCACATGCTGAGCGGACCGTGGATCTTGCTCCGGGCTATTCGATGCGCGATGTATCCAACGTGAATGATAATGGTGATAGAATAATTAATCTTCGTCTTACCACAGTCGAAGTATCTAAATTTGGAATGTTGATCCTGCGTAATGAGTGGCGATCTGGAGATTCGATTGTGGCTGTGCACGATCATGTGAAACGTCAGCTCAGCTCCACTTTTGACTTCAGGCATCCTCCATCACCATTCATGAACAAGCAAGAAAAGCCTGAGCAAATCCATATCCACAGCCGCCATAATCTGCGGCCCGTATATTGAATATATCGACTAAGGTTGATACCTACCGTGGAGAATGCCTTCCCTCGAATCCGACGACTGGCATGTACGCGCACGAGCAATGACGTCTCTCCCTAGCTTGCTGACGGGCGCCGATGTCCTTGTCGGCGATCTTGCTTGCCAAGCGGTTCACACATCATCTCTTGTATTTCAAGCTATTATTATTGGTGCTGGAGCCTATGGTTTCATATCATGCAGCAGTGATTTGGGCTTCACTGAAGACCATTGTTCCGCTAACAGCGCGCGGGTAGGCCTTCCATGGTCAGCATCACTCATGGTATGCCCCCACCAACCCTTCACGCGATTATCCATATTTTTGATCGATTTATGGTTATCCTTGACAGTCATAATGGGCAAAGAAACTCTGTTGACAACTTTAACAGGGTATGGTGGCCGGCGCCGCGAATCTAGTCTATCTCAGCCGAATCTCAGCCCTCGAAAAACGAGAAACAGACAACAGCAGCCATCAGAAGCGGCTCCAAAAGCTGTACACCCTATTAGTTGGCATGTTTTTCAATATAATATTCATGCTTGCTGATTTTATCATCATGCACAAAGCAAGCTCCTTGGCCGAAGCAAGATGGACTCACCTATACATCCTTGCAACGGTAGAAATGATTGGCGGGTAAGTCCCCGCGCCCTTCACCGGAGTTAGGCGCAGATAACTGACCAAATAACAGAGCCCTCTTGATGGCTACGTTGATTCTTCATGCTTGCAAGCTATACAGAGTTCTTCGTCAGAAGAGTCAAGTTTACGAGGTTTTAAACAATCTGGAGGAAGGGTTCGAGGATGAATATAGGGATTCAGAATGATGAGAATCCCTGGCTTGCGCCTCTTCCACCAAGAGATGGTTAGAAATATACTGCTCAGTTATGTTCAATTTTATTTCCTGGGCTGCTACCGATGGGGTTTCTCTTTTTTAAATTTTCAGCCAGTTAATCATGGACTTAAAACTGCACATATCGGCTTTAATTAGCAGCTCAATACCCTAGATGATTTCTAAAGGTGCATCATGCAGCCAGTATCTGGCCTAATTTGACCACGACTCGCAACCCTGAAAAGCCGTACTATTAGAATAAGCATTGTAGCTCTCTTCTACATCCAAATCGACGTGTCGGTAAACAAATTGAACCTTAGATCCTATTACAGTCATACCATGAACAGCCTTGGAAGTCAAGCCATGCAAGCACTTTTCCCTTATGTGTCATAGAAAATCTTGTTTCGATGATAATAGTAAGCTAGAAAGTTTATATAGCTAATCTAAACCTCAGTAAATCACCAGATAAAATCGTTTCCTTCTTATTCAGTAGGTCCTCCATATCCCAGTTTGAACAAATGATCCGTGGAGACAGCCATTCTCTCCTCTCTGCCGTCAGCCAAACCAGAGTGTTTGCCACCAGTTCAGCAGTATCCCTCAGATGCGGAATAAAGTCGGGGTGAAGCTGGCTAGCCAAGTCTGTTTTCACAGCTCCTGGCTCCACCGAGTGAATAACTAATCCATCCTTTCCATACTGGGCGTCTAGGTGCTCGCCGAAACGGCACAGGGCAAATTTGGTGCCTCCATATGCCGAAGCCAATCCTGAGATGGCAAAGGCAGCGCCACTTGTCAGGTTGCAGATTGTTTTTGACTTGGACGCGAGAATAAGGGGCATGAATGCTCGGCAACAGAGATAAACCCCCTTTACATTGACCTCCCATGTCCTCCACCATTCTTTGGGATCCGAGTCTGGGTCGGCAATACGGCTGGGACCTTCACTATCACCGGCATTATTGATGAGAATATCTAGACATCCATCAAACGCGTCTGAGATTTCTGTCGCAGCATTCTTCAAGCTATCCTCTGATGTCACGTCAACAGATAGTTCGACAATGGTTGGAACGGGTCGGCCGGCTCGGTCTGCAGATTCTCTGCATTTGTCTGCAGCCTCAGTGAGACTTCCGCGCGCTACCAAAGCGATTTTAGAACACCCCGCCGAGGCGAAAGCAATCGCCATCGCCTTGCCTAGGCCTCTGGATGCACCAGTGACGCACACTGACTTTCCCGCAAAATCTTGTAGAGACGGGTCGATGAAAGGGTAGGTGTCTGAGCGTGAGGGCTTTGTAAAACCTCGCACTTCTAGCGCGTTGGAAAATTGCATGTACTCCATGTCTGATATAATGTGAACTAGAAATAAATAGCCGAACAGATGTTTGTTTAGAAGCTCAATTGATTCCACCGGTATTTTATAATCTAATACTCCCGGTGAGTATTCGGAGACATTTTGGGACTGTAAGCGGACATCGGAGACTTTTATGTTTACAAATCTTGCTTATTTCTTGGGCAAGTCGACATTGGTGGAGTTCATGAGCTGTTCCTTCTGAGTGACATGGGCGGAACTTAAAAGTCTTTTCTCAAGGTTATCGAAGCAACACTACGCTGAGGGCTGCCGTGAAGTTGGTAAGCTATACAAAAAGTCAGATGGCCCTTGCTACAATTTGGCTCATGTGATATATGTGACAATCGGCCAAAGTTAGGATATCCTACATATTGACTCCTCTAATAACCTTAGGGCTTGTAGTTAAACTACCAATGCTACTGACGTGCATGACATAGATGAAATACTGATGATCACTAAGCTTGCTCTTGTTAGAGATACGCCACGTTATGCTGTCTTGATGACTCCTGGTTGGGCTCTATTTTATATCACTAGATCTTAGCAACTCCTTCAATCTAAATGTGTCTATGAACATTTGGGCAACGCGATCTAATCGGCTGAACATTATTGTAGTGGGTGGTTATGAGTCATCAACATACGGACAAAGGCTAGAACTGAAGAGAACTTATTGTCGAAGTAACTAATCGCTCTGCTGCAGATGCCTTAATGCAGAACTCTTTCTAAGATGTTGCTCCCATGTCGTGAGATCATCTTCCAACACACGCCGAGTCAAGTGGTAACTCTCGCCAATGAAATATCCATATTCAGCAATAAGTCGCATGTTGTCAACCATCACTTCTCTCATCTTCCCTGGTCCCTCGATATATCCAGCCCAGGTTTCAGGAGCCACTTTCTGCCAGCTTGCGCCTTCGCCAGCGATAGGGAACACCTTTTGAAACGTGGCAATCATCTGGTCGCCGGTTACGTGTCCCGAAGTGCCGAGCAAGTGCTTCCCAACTACATCATCCCAGTGCAGGATCGCGGCCTTGATAAATTTACCCGTGTCCGCTGTGTCGTAGAGTGCAATTGGACGATCGCCGGCAAAAGGAAGGGAGATGGCATATGCGCCATTGTTTGCGGGCGATGGCTGCAACAAACCTGCAGAATAGTTGGTCATGAAGCTGCCAGGTAGGAAGAATGCCGCTGGAATGCCAATACTGCGGATGTAATCTTCGATTCGTGCCTTGGTGTCGAAATTGTAGACGTGAGTGAGCTTGCCGCCAGTAAGTTTCTCGGCATATGGGAGGGATGACCAGATATACTGGGTGACGCCAGCCTCTTTGGCCACATCGGCAAGGGCTTTGCCGTGCCGAAGCTCCAGTTCTATATCTTGCTGATCCCAGTCAGTGTTGCCGGTAGTCGTCATGGCGAAGACCGCTGAGGCGCCTGTTACCGCAGCAAGAAGGGATGCCTTGTCATTGAGGTCGGCCTAAAGACTTAAGTTTTAGTTTGAACTGTCCGTTGAAATCGCAGAAACCTGCGTCTGCCCCTGAGTGACTGCCTTACCGCAACTACTTGGACACCTTGGGAAGTGAGTGCCTGGGCTCGATTACTTGTGACGTCGCGAGTGACGGCGCGAACGGTCCATTCTGAACTGAGTTTGGCCTCCTTTAGAAAGGTGTCGACGACGCTGCCGCCCTGGGCACCTGTGGCGCCGAATACTGCAATGATCTTGGCCATGATATTTAGCTCACTATCTGTGTACTGTAGTCAGCCAGACAATGAGTTGACACAAGTTTCAGTACTGGGCATAGCGCGCCTTACGAGGTAAAGTAGTGAAGGTCAGAGTTTTCACTCGATATGTGAGAGCTCATAGAGGGCACGGGTGGCCGAATGATTGTTAATCGCATTTGAGGATGTTTCAACATCCTGCTTAGCGATGTGCGGCCATAATTCCTTATCTCCACCGGCGATTTGACACTGGCTGAATAGTGTAGGCTCAAGACCGGCCGACTTCGACCTCCATTTGATATTGTTGTACTTGCAGCGCCGACGTTGCTCCGATGTGGCACCACTTGCCCCAGCCGTGGCGATGCAAAATTGCGTGCGGCGGGACTCTCTGCCTACGGCCCAGGAGCCTCCATCCGGACTAGGGCCCTCATTCAGTTTAGGTAGGGAGTACTTCAGGAGATGCAAGAGGTCGGTGAAATTCGGTGACATGCCCCCCTTGGCATGAGGGGCGTCATGGCACGAAGTGACATGGATGACACGACTCACGGCTGGGTGGTCCGCATGTTACCACTGTCCTCTTATTGCCTTAACATTTGCGTGCCAAGCTGCAATGGAATTACGCCATCTTGGATCCCATGGCGAGAGTTCCGGTGGGTTATAACCGCTTGCTGTATGAAGTAATGTAGTTTTACGTTCCTTTTAGATTCAAGTGGAGGATATATGATGATATTATAGAGAACGAAATCGTGAGCATCTACGAGGCATCGATGTTCAAAATTGCGGGACAGATCTACGCGGCATCATGCTCTTCATTGCCTTGAATTCAATAGATAACGTGAGATACTTTTATTATAGGAAGATACTTACGGTAGGTCCATATCCTTATCTGCCAGCATGAGCGAAAGAGGGTGCTTAAATGAAAGGTGTCAAGAGAGAATGAGTAGTTGGGAAGCAGTGATTTGATTAGCAACCGTGATAGACTAAGCTACTCATATAATCTTAAACCGCAAGTCTCCTTGCATTATTTATGACCAACGGCTTTGGGAGCATTCTGCCAGGCAATCTTTGCACCAGTTAGAACTTCCATTATCGGGGCTTGCGAGCCAGTTTCCTTGGGATCGTCGCCGATAAAGTTCAGCGGAAACCCAATATCAAACTGCCTAATGCTCTCGATATAACTTATCTGCTCGTCCGTCAAATGGATACTCAAAGCCTTGATATTGTCATGCAGATGCTCGATCTTGCGACCGCCGATTAATGGAAACACATTCCTCGCCTTTTGCAATACGTAGGCAAGGGCAATCTGCTGAATACTGTCTGTTCCATGCTCGGAAGCTACCTTCTCCAAGGCCGCGCTGACCTTGCGAGCCTCCTCATTCTGGCTGCTGCTGCGACCTCCATCGTTGGATTTTTGACGCGTCTCAAGTTGCTTCGCGGTTTGCAACTGACCCCCTCCGAGAACATCCCATGGGCAAAGGGCCATGCCGAAATGACGCGCCATCGGAATGATATCCCTCTCGAAGTCGCGCAGCATTAGGTTCCAGCGGCCCTGATAAACAGAGAAAGGAGTCTTGCCATGAGTCTTAGCGTAGACATTAGCAGCAGATACAACCCAGGCCGGCGTATCTGAGATGCCCAGGTATAGCACTTTGCCCTGCTCAACAAGAATATGGAGAGAGTCCATAAGTTCTTCGATTGAGGTCGTCCAGTCCCACCAATGGACGTAGAGAAGATCGATATACTCCGTTTGTAACTTGCGAAGCGAGTCGGCAACAGACAATCTAAGAGACTTTTTATGGTTGCCTCCATAATTCACCGTCTTGCCAGAGCCGAGCTCATGTGTGCGGTAGGAATTAGTGAATTTCGTGGCAATAAACAGAAGATCTCGGTTTCCTCGTTCAGCCATCCACCTGCCGATATATTTCTCAGACTCCTCGTTCTGATAATTGTTGGCCGTATCGATGAAGTTTCCGCCCGCATCAGTGAATGCATCCAAGAGTTTGAAAGACTGCTCCTCGTCCATAGAACCCATCATTGAAGACCATGCATCCCCGAGGGACATGGCACCAAGTGCAAGCGGAGACACGCGAACACCTGCTGTGCTGGAGAGAATCCGATAACGACCGAGTTCGGTCATGGGCTCCTTTGGTGGTGAGAAATCCATGACTGTCGGTGTTCTTTGGAATAAGGCAGGCGTTTGGAGCTCGTTATAGTCAAGTTGCGGAATGCTTACCTTGAAGCAAAAGAGGGTGTCGATAGGTGTGTTTTCTCTCTATATAAGTCTGTTTCCTGATCCACATTGGATTCGCTCGTGATTCCAAGCTCGTCCCTAGCAACTAGATGAATGCAAGAATTGATAGCCTCAATGTGTCGGCGTTTACGGATTTATCATTTTGGGCCATACTCGGGCCTTTCACCAAGTTCGGAGTATGACCTTGATGAGGATATACGGCGGAGCTCGTTAATCAAATCGGGTGCTTAACAATCAATCCTGTTCCGGTGATGCAATGTTTAAGCGTTGTGGGAGACTAGAAGGAGGTATAAACTAAAGTACCTATTCCATTCAGTTCCACATCACTAAAAGTTCACTAATTTAAATCTAGAAGATTGTATAGCACTACTTAAGAGAGGCTAAGGAAGAGAAGAGTAAGGATTTTTATCATATCTGTTATAAACTTACTACCTAGTACATTAGCCTAGTTAATGTGAACAACTGGATATTATATAATGTGAACATTCAACATAGTACCAGGGTAAGGCTGCTCGAAGAAACTCATGAGTAGATGGACTTGCCTTGCCGCACTCACAGGCGTTCTTCAATCACGGAGTTGCCACTTCTGCATGACCATGTAATCCAGACATACCTGAAAGATTGAGCCTATGGTTCCACCGCAAGAGATATCACACAGCTGGAATCTCCCCACTATGTCCCGCTTCGCTCTTGACCTGACCTCCATGATGTAGGCACATAGCTAAACTCATCATTAAGGCGGCCCGGTCTAGTCGGTCCTATTCTCTCGTGTCTGCAAACATACATTGATGCCATCTAGGTGGGCCGTAGGCTCTTTGGTTTGCTAAAATCCGCTATCGCCGGTCGGGTAGGATGCCGGAGTCTCGACTCTCGGGACCCCATCCGAATTGGATAAAATATGGTGACACCTCCCACCATCACGGCCGCTGATGGTTTCATACCGCCAGATCTTGGTGACAAGTTTGGAAATCCAAAGACAAGCATCATGAGCGTCCTCGTCCAAAGGGACAGTTCAAGGATCCTTCGCCAAACTGCCTAGATGAGAGAAGGTGGCTTACCCTGCCTACGACATTGAGCGGCAATGATAGCCAGGGAGCAGACTTTCGATTTTCATTTAGCGAGCAATATCGGGAACTATGGTTTACTTTCGCGTAAAAACTAGAACATCTCCTTTTCCTATGCCCGAATGTCCTATGCCCGAATGCATCCAATTATACATGCTATGCAGCAAGTTTTAGTGAGCAAACTTCACAAGCCCGCCAGCAAATCTTAAAATAAATACCTATTTTTGGACGACAATATTGCTTGTCGGATTTTAAAATCATCAGCCAGTCTGAATACCTTTAAGACACTATCATACCGAGGGCACTGTTCTGTGTTAGCATACTAACAAAAAATATGTTGTGTTAATTACCTAGATAAACAAATTCATAAACCTAGATTATCCATTAAGATACTACATAGACAATTTTCTCTCCGCTAACAGGCCCGAGATGCCCCTTTTGGTCTTGTTGCACTGCCTTGAAACTCCCACTGAGCAGCCCAAACCCATCAGAGGGGATTTCCTCAAGCCCCCCAGGCATAACACGGACAGGGTTTGGGTAGAGCTTGATTTGTCCCGACTCGACTCCCGAACCTAGATATTTGTACAGCGCAGCGCCAAAGGCACGTGCCTTGGTATTAGCAGGTATTGTCACACCTAGAGAAATCCTCAATGTCAGCAATCGAGAAGAATGTGCCATCACACTTCGAGCAACACTTACCACCGTGATATTGGACTTCTACGCCGAGAGCTTCCCATACTGCGCCAAAGATAGGTTTTGTCTTGAGCTTGGCGATGTCAAAGTTGCCGGCGGCTGGAGCCCGGAAAATGGCAAACTTGCCACCGGACTTGATAACGCTGTCGGTTTGCTCTACCGTTGAGCCCTGCGAGATAGCGTCAATGGCATACTGGGCTCCCTCTCCTCCAGCTGCCTTACGAACTGCCTCCGGCCATTGAGGGTCCCGATAATCAACCAGGAGATCATATGAGTATGGCGCGTCGTAGAGAAGTGCATGTTTTGAGGGGCTTGCCGCACCGATTAGTCGAATCTTTCTGTCAGAGGTCTTTTCAGAAAGCCTGACAAGCTGCGCTGCGTAGAGGCCTACGGATGATGATGCACCGTATATAAACACACTAACTGGTTCATCTTCACGGATGCTTCGCTGCTCAGAAACACCTGTCTCTGAGAATGGACTCGGTAATTGTAAACGCTCAAAGACACCCTGAGCAGCAGTCATGGCCCCCAAGCTAACGCTGGCGGCTTCTTCAAAAGATACCTTATCAGGGATGTTCCAGGTGAGGTCATAGTCAATGGCAACGTATTCTGCGAATGCCCCAGGGCGGTCATTAACAGAGCTGGCTGTAAGAAAATGGTTCTAATGTCAGCTAGGTTCCCAATATCGGGCTGGCAATCAGCCAGCTTGCAGCTCAAGTGTCAACATGACTTACCACCCTGCACAAACCCTGATACGCGCGCTCCAACTTTGGCTCGCGGGTCGTCTAAGCCAACAAGATCTTCCCCCACCTGAGCTACCTCCCCTGCGAAGTCGGATCCCAGCACACGCTTCTCTTGGGCCGCCAAGGGTTTGACGGCATTCATGTAATCGACGTGGTTGAGCGCGACAGCACGAACACGAACAAGGATCTCCTTGGGTCCCGGCTCCGGATTAGGTACATCTTGAACGGTTGTGGACTTGTTGACTGTATTCAACACGAGGGCTCTCATTATGGTGATACCAACGCGCTTTAGTGCTTATGCTTGTGAGTATAGTAATGGTAGGTGTTGATTAATAGAAAAGGATGTAGATCATATGGGAAGAACAAATAGTTCAGGCACTGTCTATTCTTAATATTATATAAGCCTGTTATTCTAGTATCGCTTCGGATATAAGGTTTGCTGCTCTCAAATCATCCATGCAACCTTTAAGCTTAGCTGGCGATGAAAAGCTACTGATTGAAGTAGGGCCGAAAGTAAATTGATTGCTATGTCACCATTCCTCACGCTCAGCTTTACGCCCTGGCTCATTCAAGTTAACTCCGAGGCGTGAGACTCAGAAAAAAGATGCATTTGTCATCCAGTAAATTATGCTTTCTCCGCGGGCGGCCCTATGTGGGCCTAACGTATGATGTGATTCATTAGCTAAGAATGTGGGCAAGACAAAAGTGGGAAATGGCCGTATTAACTGCCGAGTAAGAAGCGCTTCTGTTGGCATCCCAGCCGTTAAGGGTGTGAGCGAACGTTGTACTAGAATCTGGTTGCATGTAGTCGAGCTGGACTTTCGTAAAATCTACCACGATAGTTGAGTAATCCTTCGCTACTGCTTCGTATGATGTTGGGGACAAATTAGTAACTCTAGCATCTTCCAATTCGTAGACATTCTTCAACAGTGACATGCGATTTCACGATTTTGTTCGCTCCCCCGTAGCCTCTTATGCGTTACATAGCGCTCCAGGCTCATAACTCAGAATCTTTTCTTCAAGCTTAAGTAAAGCCACGTCTTTTGATATATTTTCCTTGGTCACTTTTTGTCCACAATTGTATTGTTTTTATTTAGTAATCTCTTGCGCCTCCTGTTTGTCTTAAGAGATAACACTTTAAATATACTATCATTATGAATATTATTGAAGCCAATTAACTCAAGCTTACTATCATAGAATATTGTACGACCTAGAAGGCCTTGAAAATTGAATCTTTTAAAATTTCTGTCGACTAATGATCTTCTTAATGTGCCTATCGAGAGAAGATAATTCTTAAAAATAGGACGAAGTCATCATACATTGTTTGCTATCACAACAAGCAGTACCCATAATAAGCCCGGCCTTGTAGCCAATTATTACCCTGAGCTGCCATTCAGTCCTTTTGGCCCATGTTAATAATTTACCGAGAATGTTGCCCTATTGACATGTCTTGAGGTCCATAGCATTATATAGAGCACATACGTACATGTGTTGCAAATCTCAGCAATCTCAGCTAACACAGAACTTAAAAAGTGGAAATAATTTCTCGTTATGCTGAATCACCAAGTTTTCTTAGAACTCAAATGTGATGGTCAATCAGCCCACTGTGGCCTTCTCAGGCTCTCTCTGAAATCTTGACTGAAAGAATCCTCGCCAGTCTTGATCCCCATGATCCCCAACCCCGGAGTGCTAACATCGCCTTCTGGGAGAGGTGCACCGCCGATTTTTTCAAGATCAAAACGGTGTAGAATAGTGCATACGCATGCTTTGATAGACTGCTCAGCAACAAAGCGACCTGTGCAAAGAGTTTTCCCACCTACAAAAGGTCTCCAACATCCCCCCCGTGTGCGATTATCCTTTTCCAAAAATCGGCTAGGTAGAAATTGCTCAGGGTCCTGTTTATATGCATTCTCGTTCATATGGAGGAGCATATACGGGATGATGGCCTTGTTTCCTTTGCAGAATAGCATGTCGCCTACAACGGTATCCTCATTGACGCAGCGGACTGCTCATCCGTTTGAAATCAACCGAAGAGTCTCAAGCCAGACAGCCTCGAGGTGAGGGCAGAGACTGTGGTCGACAAGGTGCTCGTGATTGACTAGCTCGCTCCCTTCGAAGGCCTGTGCCGTCTCTTGACGGATCGTTTCAATCAGCGATGGATTTTGGGGAAGGAAAATTACAAACTATGCCTACTGGAAACTCATTAACGCAAAGATCCCAGCCACATAAGGGTTTTAGAGCCCTGTAACCCCAAAGGAAGAAACTCCATAAAAGCAGCCTTCTAGTTACTTTCGTCTTAGAGAAACCTTTTTCCCTTTCTGTATCTAGATATAACTCTAATCCGCGGACTTATTATTAAAATTCCCAGAGAGAATTAAATAACAGCGGGATAATGAACTTCATTAGGCCGCAAGATCAAACTAACAACGGCACAAGTTTCACAAAGCAACCAAGGCACCCCACCTCTCTCCTTTGAATGCCTTTTATGTGCATTCTTACATCTTCTATAATGCCGGGAGGAATTAAAATGAGGTGGGCAGCTGAACACTAAGTCCAGGATGCCGTTATCCGGGCAGAACTTGACTGCCCAGCCACTGAGATCGCGCATCATGCCACTAGATCCATGTCACCAACCAGAAGTAAAGCTGAAGTGGTTGGCTTGGTGTTCCAGCTGATCCCAGTCAGTATGGATTCATCAGTCAAGTCCGAGATGTCCTCAAGGGTTTCAAATTCACCGTGAGTTTCCGGCTATAAGACGACCGTGGTCAAGCGAGACGACTATGAGGGTATTAAAAAGCCCAGCACCCGCGGGAAGGCTTTTGGAGGTAGTTCATCTCTCAATTACTTCTCGTGGGTGCCAAGTTCCAGGGATACATACGATATGTCAGAGGAAAACGGTGGGAAGGAGTGGACCTGTGACCCTCTTGTTCCTTACTTATGAAGAGTGTGACGTAAAATGATAATGCTGGCTTACATTCAAAGGAGTTTGCGAAGATTGGCGCCGGTGGGCCAATTCCGATTGCTAAAGTCACACATTTTGCTTCCGCTCATCGTAGCATAATTAGAGCAACTCTCGGTGTCCGAGAGAGACCGGCAAGGAGCAGCTATCCATCCGATGGCTTAGTGATCATCCTCAGATCAATGCGCGACCCTTGGTTAGTCTGTCGGGGTGTAGGGATAAACCCTGGGTTACCGACTTTTTGGACGCCGACCAAAATCTGCTTTTGGAAAATGAGATAGCAGCGTCATCGCCTGGAGGACATTCTGGTGGTGAAGAACGAATGGTCAATTCTGTCTCTTCTTAGAACCGGAGGAAGCACAGTGAAATCTCATCTTGCATCAAACGCTGAGAATATTAAGCAGATGGGACTTTGGAAACCATTCTAGAAACTTATTTACTCTGGGGACAGGCTTTGTGTGAAGTTGTACAAGTTGGTCCCGCGACCTGAGACGACAGTATAAATGTGGCTTCGCATGACTTCGCAAAAGGCTCCATATACATCCGTTTTAGACCTCCTATACCAACTCAGCCTCAACAATGACCTCCGATCCCATGGCAAAGCTATGAATCTGAATATTCTGGAACCCTGCGCGCTCCAAGATACTCTTCCAGTCCGCCTCGGTACGCTCCCTCATAGCGCCCAGCACAAAAACGAGCTGGTCCATGGAAGTGACAGACCATGGCGCGTTCTGACCCGGGACAACCAGTTCATTGATCAGCAATCGCGAGTACCCTACCTTCATCGCAGGCTTCAGTTGCTGGAGGATCTTAATGCAGTCATCGTCGCCCCAGTCGTGCAGGACAGAATGAAGGTAGTATGCCCGCGCATTTTTGACTGGCTGCTCAGTGAAGAAATCGTGGGACGTGGGCTCAAAGACAGTTTCACCGGTACTGGCCAACGAGGAGATGACCTCGGGTCTGTCTTGCAGGACCAGCCTCCCAGGTAAACTCGGATGCTTCTCCTTCAGCTCCCTCATATCATGACCGAGACCTCCCCCAACATCTACAAGCACGACATCGCTAATAGTTGGTTCAAAGCCGTTGGCGAGACGCTGTTGGATCGGGTAGAAGCCGGGATCGAGCCAGGATGGCTTCCCCGCACGGTAAGCCGACATGTAGTTGTTGAACTTTTCCAGATACGGTGGGTTCTGGTCCAACCAGGCGAAGAAAAGCAGATCTGTCTTATGGGCATGTTGAAAGGGTCCATTGGTCAATTCGGTAGGGAGAGCGTAGGAGGTCTTCTTCAGATATTCGGGCAGGGCGCGGAAAGATGGGCCAGCCACGTCGTATCTTCGCAGTTATCGTTAACAGAATACGCGTGACATCAAAGAGCACTTGACATACGTGTAGATGATTCCATCTCTGTATTTAGGATCCGTCAAGGCGTTGCTAAGACCCGTTGCGACGTATGTGTCAACGCCGTTCTCGGCTACAATGTTCATGGCAGCCAGATGCCTCATGGTTCGAGCTTGATATTGTCAAAATTGACCCAAATACCTGGACATGTAGGCGGACTTACCTATCAACACATCGTCGGCGCCGATCTTGGCCGCCAGGGCCTGCGCACTTATCCCGGCCGTGCCACTCTCCTTGAGATGCTCAGGAATCTTCAGATCAACAGCAATGCGGCAGTGAGCCGCTCGAGCAGGCTAAAGGCAACGATCAATCAGCACCGCGTATTCTAGAAAATGCAGCTGCTTGAATGGCAGCGCAGTGGTATGGGATGAAATTACCTCTGCCCAGCCAATACGCTGGATTGCTTCGCTAGGCAGCTCGAGGCTGGAGATCAATTCACGGCTGAGTTCGATGAGTTGCTCACGAGCTCCCGGCTGCTTCTCCCGGAACTCTGCACCAACAGACTGCAGCTGCGCGAGGATCTTATCTGACTCGGCCGACATCTCGAGTTACTGGTATTCCAATTGGAGAGATGCAGTTAATTGATAAAAGTAGATGCCTCTAGGGGGAAATGGAGGAAACATATACTCTGGAAGACACCAGAAGTAAGCACCAGCTTAAGTATTTCCCCACATTCTACGAAACTAAACCCGTCACTGTCGATTGCTTACATGCTTACAAATCTTACCCTTGCTAGATACAAGGTTGCGGTCTGGGAAAATCAAGTTAGACTTTGATGCGTCCCCAATCATATGGTATGAAATATGGACACTAAACAGGCCACGGGCATATGTTTCTTATCCTTGTCTTGTCGACGTCTGTTACCGCTGCCACCATTTCATAGATAGCCAAGCATTCAACTTTCTTGTTAGCAGAGACCCGTTGTTCTAGAGCATCAATATTTATATGAATCGCAGAAATGGTGTATATCCGTTTGGTTTCACACCCTCTACCGCAAGGCTTCCGTGAGCATAGCCCACGAAAACGCTCAAGCTGACGATAGCCCAGGCACAGATACTCGAGCTGATGAGCTGGGACCCATCAACACTCCTACCATTCGCCATTCGTACATAGGTCAACTTCTCCTATTCCAAGGTATCAGCCATAGCTATAGACGTAACGGCTTTTACGCACTTGCACATATCCAACGTCTAAGCTCACATTAGTGCTGTTATGAAATTACAACAATAAATAGCTAAACACTCTACCTAGCAGCGAACTATTGCCACGACAGTACTCTAAAGCTGTAAGACACAAGGCCACTTGACTAGAGCCGAACCAAGATAAAATTTTGTATTTTATCAGTTCTTACTTCTTAAATAAAATAGTAATCTGTTTTGTTAACAAGATTAATTGTATAAATAACTTATATAAGATTTCAGGATAATACAAATGAAATGTTAAATGTCTAAATGGCTCTCCTCAGTTTATACCTTCGTTCCTCTCCTCTATATTTGACGTTGTATCCCGAACTCCATGCAGTATCCTCTCTCTATTCTCTCAGATCCTCTTTGGATCTAGTTTGTTACCCGTGGTCCCCCCATTACAAGAGTTCTGTTTAATCACTTTGTCGCCACGGGGACGGGGAGCGAGAAGCATAGGCGCCCCCAGGATGATAACCACCCCCTGACTGATAGACTGGAGGGGACACCTGGGGATGCGCATATCGTCGCTCATGCAGCAATTCCTCATTCATCACAATGCTGTCAGTTGACGGCACCTTTGCATGGTTTGCTTGAGGGTGTCGGCCGCGGTGGGTTCCGCTTGCACGGAAGTGCCTGAAGTCCAACCAGGTGATGATAGTCAAGTAGAACGCGATCGTGCTAGAGCGGAACTCGAATTAGCCAGGTATTACCTCAAGATACCTATTCTCTGAATTACCTCATGAGTATGCCGAGAACGACTACAATCCAGCTCAGCGTACAAGTGAAGCCCTCGCAGAAGTTGATGTTTGCTTGTATCATCATGAACACCACTGCACCCCAGAAAACAATCTCAAGCGCATTTAGGATAACGTAGGCTTTAAGGCTAGACCACTTCTTGAATGCATGTACGTGTTCTGATAATAGCTGGTACAACAAAATGATAAGGGACTTTGCACTCTGATACCCAATTTGTCAGTTGATGTCTAAGATGTTGACTGGGATAGTTCTTACCATTCCCAGTGCCATGGTGTTTGATCGTCCCCTTGGGGCATTGGCTGGCTGCTTCAGCATTCGCACGACTGACAAGATCAGGACTGCGATGATCAAGAACAGCTCCACAAGATGGAGCGGAAGCTTGAGGCGGTTGCTGAAGATTCCTGACATATTTGGATAGTGTGGAGAGGAGGCGGTTAAATGAAAGTTTGGAGGCTTTTGCGAGAAGGAAGTGAGAGTTTGATGGCCGTTTTGATAGTTGGAGAAGCTGAGTAGTTGTTGAAGCTGTGAGTTGATGAGGAATTGATTATAGAACGCGGATTCTCACAGATTAAGTACTGAACTGTATCTTTATTGAACCCTAGTCTCTCAATGCTAATCTTGAGTTTTTGTGGATGTGCTGGCGGCAGAGTAGATCACACTAAGGCTGTGTTTCGGTCTCGGATGCGCCTCGATTAGCGTGTCATAAATTTGGCGCTGGAACCCGAAGCGAAACCGAGCTCAACTGCCCATTCGTCGTAACAAAGACGCAAAATACAGCCTTATGGGGCTACCCCTTTGATTACTGTACACGCGTTGCTGCCGTCGACGCGTGGAGTTTCTCGTATCAAAGTTGATGCTTAATTATGAGACAAGGGTAGATTGATCCCGTCGATAAGATGCGCACGCGGTTAGTATGACACCACTCGTTCCTAAACCACAGTGACCACTGAACCTGGATTCAAGGTGATATTGAAGGGTGGAGATTCGAGACAAAGAATATACACGGTATCTTTAGACTAACCATATCAACAATTACCCATCTAATATTTCAATAACCTCCTATAATCAATTCCTGACTTTACTCCAACATGGACCTTAACCTTAACTACCTATTCCTAATGCCAACCGTAGAGAACTATCACCAATGACCTCAGTCTTTACACCCTTGATTCGGTGAGATTCGAAAACTCCTGGCTTCGATCACTTGGAGGAGAATTTGGCACCGCACCAATACTAAACCAGCCGCCTACCGTGACAACAATGGCCACAATCATTTGCATACCAAACATCAGCACCAATCTCGTAGCAAAAGTGCCAGAGAAGGGATCCAAACTCGAGTAAGGAGTGAATGAGTAGGTCAAGGCGTATCCAAGCCGCACGAGCTGGAAGGGAAATGCTGCGCACGCCGCAAGATGCAAGTTATTCGCAACCCGGAAATTTGGGTGCGTCTTCATACCCATGGCCCGTCTGCCCGTCGACCAGAGCCACCATCCCACCCCGAAGAGCATGACGAAAAGTATCAAGCAAGTTCCGACCTGGTTCAGGGTCTGCGACAGAACGCCGCCTGGAGCTCCGGCCTTGGGTGCACCTCCATATGTGGACAACGTGATTCCGGCCGTGACGGTGAGGTGAGTGACACCAAGTATTATTTTCTCGACCCAGCGTTTGGGGGGCAGCGGGAGGATCATGTTTCTAAAGGATACGCTCCCGGTTAGTTACATGTTCAGTCCACCCTGGATGAGGTTCAGACTTACACTTCATAGATCATTCCAATTATCGTTAGCGACAGACAGGCAATACTTCCGGCGCTGGTCATGATGATGACCACATTGGGAATCTCGGGTTCGTTGCGCTTGGCGATTTGGTATGCATCGGAGACAAACTTGAGTGGAAAGTATGACACAAAGATTGGCCAGCAGGTCATGCCCGCCTTCCCATGCTTCCAAGTGATCCAGATGACAGGGATGAAGAGAACGGCATAGAGTACAAGCTCTGCAATGGCCAGATTGATCTTGTCCGGTGAGGGCGGATCGGGGAGGCTGTTGGCGGACATGGTGGACAGTAGAAAGACAGTAGAAGGAGTCTGATTTCGGAGAATTTGAGTCAATACGGAAGTAGTCTTGGCCCAGATTCATGAAAGCAAAAAGATCTGGAGGACATGCATGCAGAGACTGGGCAGCGGTTGAATGATATCGGGAAGATCCAGATGCGCTAAAGACCGGGCCCGAAACCGATACCGAAATGTTGAAACTAAAATGACATGTCTGCCGTGGCTGAAATTCATGCCGTGTAGATCGCTAATAAAAATGCGTCAGCACGCCAAGCCACGCAATTGGACGTCGAATGTCACTGTTACAGGCTGAGATCTCATCCAAACACGAAACGCCAAATGATATCTTGCCGTGGAATCCGGCCAGAAACATCTTGAGCACCAGTCAAAAGGGGTCGATCGGCATTCTAGAGTCGCATATCTGAAGCTATTCCCAGCACTCGACGTCAATGCCGCGGGGCTGTTCAGTGACATCGTAATAATGGATGTTACTATACCTTGGTAATTATACGATTGGCACAACTAACCCATACGCAACTTATTCAATGTCATCACCGCTGTCCATACTCGGGTACTGTAGCAAGACACCTAGTAAGATACAAATACATTACTGTTGAAAGCCTATGGAGGAGATATGACACATCCGAGTCCCGAATATGATAGATGAACCCTAGTCTTATAGCTGGTCCCTTCAACTTCGAGTCCTAATAACCTTCATAACGCCAGCCCATGTCAACTTGTTCCTGGGAAACGTGGTGCTTGCGCATGACATCGGCCTGTTGGTCGGATGTCCCAGCCAGCTTCTTGTTGAGATGACGAACCCAGAACTTGTAGCACGTAATGGATCCGAGAAAGACCATAGCACAGCCTAAAAGGGTGCCAAAGGCGATGTAGTATTGAGGTCCACCCTTCCACAAATAGGAAGTCCACACGTTGGAGATGCCACCCAGGCCGTTGATCAAGGCCATACCCAAAGCTCGCTTCGTGGCTGGTCGCGCCATATGCAACCCGTTGGTTTTGTACAACATGACTTGAGGGGCGACTGCAAGTGGAAGGTTAGCAGAGGCACTGTAGTAGCAGTAGATAAGAGAAATTGGCGAGGCGGGTGGGTTGTTGTTTTGGGGAGGCCGTGTGAAGGCACAGCGAGTGGGTTGGTGCTATCGAGACAATTGAAGCAATCTTCACCACTCACCGGAGACAACTGGCATCAAACACATGGCAAAGTAGCGACTGCCAGTGTTGGGTGCATTCATGCCGAGGATGTACACTGGTGCTGAAGCCATCAGATTGATGATGATAATGACGTAGATCTTGTTATAGCGCTAGATAGGTAAAGGTCAATAAGAAGATTGATGCTGGAAATGCCCGGGGGTTGTACTCACATCTGACAAGAACGAGCAAATATAATACCCAATCATGGCAACAATATAAGGTGGCACGGTAAGCAACAAGCTCTCGTACTTGGCATACCCGAGAGAGGCGATGATCGAAGGGAAGAAATTGAACACGGAACCCATGGCCTGCCCCATTCCGCCGCACCATACAATCAGCCAGAGTTTCTTGTCCGCGACGGCAGCTTTGAGGCCATCCCAGGCGCTGCTCTCTTCGTGGACCTCAGTGGAACCACGCTCGTTCTCGAGCCGCCAGACAGCCAGATCGCGCTGGTCAGGGGTGAGCAGGCGCGCATTGTGGGGGAACTCGGGCATGACGAGGGCGAACATGAGGCCAAGGCCGACAGTAACGACGCCCTCAACAATGAAGAGCCATCGCCAGCCAGCGATGCCATGCTTGCCTTCGAGAGTCAAGCAGGCGGCGGCAATGAATCCGCCGAGAGCCTGTCCAAGCGCCTGGAACATGAAGACGCCACCGATCCGTTTCGCAAGTTCGTCCTTTTTATACCATGCGGAGAGGAAGTAGAGCTGCAGAAAGACAGTGTCAGCCGGCTTTCATATTCCCCTCTTTCTATCTGCTCAGCACAGAACTCGCAACGAAGGGCTACTCACAGCGCCTGGGAAGTACGCTGCCTCAGCAATTCCCAAGACAACTCGTACGGCATACAGCTGTTCTTTCGTTTGGACGGCGGCGGTACAGGCTGAGACGGCGCCCCAAATGATTGCCATTAGGCAAATGTCTAGAGTATTAATTAACAACAGCTTTTGGTTGCCGGCGAGCCAAATTCAAACTTACAAAGACCTGGGCGTGGGATCCGAGAGACCAGAATATTACTCGGGAACTGCATAGGAATGTAACTGACTGCGCGGTGGTATTAGCCGGACCTTTCGTCCCAATCCATGAGCGCGACTCACCGAAGAGAATCGAGATGGCGGTAGCAAAATCAGTCTCGGACATTTTGAGGTCATCGGTGATACCGTAGACGTGGGTGGCAGCCAACCCAGAACGATCAACATCTGCAATCAATCAGTATCGCGCTCAGACCAATTTATTCTTATGGGTGATAATGGGCATAAAAAGAGACTTACAGTTCAGAATGTACAGAATGCCGATGATCGGCCTATATTGCCAATTGTGAGCCTCATCTACTCATGAGCGGTTGAAAGCCGTGTTCGACTCACATCACTACCATATCAACCTTGCGGACCATCTTCTTCTCCATTTGAGCAAGTTCCTCATCGCTCAAGTTGGCAATGCTCTCTGGCTTAGGCTTAGTGACTGCAGTCATGGTTAAAACCTCACCCTTCGAGACATCGTCCTCGCTGCCAAACCAAATTCGGAGTCAGCAATTGCCATTTGTATATGTCTGATTCCTAAACAAAACTCCCGACAATGGTTCTGGGTAATCAAGGATACGTGTGCGAGTCTCGCGTGTCCTAGTAGCCCTAGATTCCAAACCAACTGAAAGAAGTTCTCACTCACTGAATGGCAGCAGAGCCATCCTTCTGTGGCATTTCTTCCGCGTCGTGCTTGGTCATGACTGATGGGATTTTGATCCGAAGTTGCAGTGATGATGAGAGTAAGAGGAGCTCTTGGGCTGGACGTGCATGAACTCATGTTTTATCCCTGTCTCTTCTGGAGGAGAATCTGGGGTTGGTCTTTTACATGACACGCAAATGCGATGCCATGCAGACCTCCCCACTAATCAAGTGGATTAAAGAGACTGACGAAGTAGATCGATCTCGAAACGTTTAGCGGAGCCGACCGCTCAATTTCCCCATATTCCCATCCGCGGCTTAGCCTACGGTTAGCCTATGGTTCCCCCACGGGGCCCCAAGGTCCCGTTGGTCTAGGACAGGATTAAGAATGGAGAGAGGCAAGAGACTTTATGAATCACCAAAGCTCGGCAGCATCTAAAACTCACAATGGTCAACTTCACAAAACAAGAGAAGTGATTCCGGCTATAAAATAGAACTGCGCACAGTGGATAAAACATCAACCGGCATTTGGGCCAATGTCATTGATCCCAAGGGTACTCACACTATAGGATTTGGCATAGAGGTCCTGTATTGGTACATAGTCGTCAAAACCATGACAATATCTACTTGCGATGAGGTAACACTGGCTTTCATTAAGAGGAATATGGCTTGGCGAAGGCGGGGGAACGGCTATCAGTGGGTTGAGTCCAAATAAATGACTGGCTTATTGTCCAAGGTCCCCTTTTACGTTAACTACTAACATCGCCTTTTGGCGACATCTCGGCTAACGTTTCAATATTAGGCAATATGTTTAGAGAATCTCCAACTACCTACTGAAGGTTGTCTTATTCTCATGACCATGAGCGAGCCAATCGCTCTTCGTGATGTAAGCTGCCAATAATTCCTGGGTGGCCGGTCGGCTATAGTAAGGAATTAGGAAACCGGTTCCTATTGTCATCGGCTACACTAACGATATCCGTATAGGATACCTGAACCGACGTGCCCCTTCCCCTGCAAAAGCAGTCGAGCCAATCGCTCTTCCGGAGATGCTAATCAGCAAACCACATGCTCCACAAGGAGTACAACATACTGCTAGTCACATGGAGCCAGGCCATCGGTCATGGTCGATTCTATGCGGGGATCTGGGGTAGTTTCGTGATACTATTCTGGTCTTTATGTTCTGGTCACTGACTATAAAGCCTAATACTGTTCTTGACCCATGGTCATAGTATCAAATCATCATCCCCTTGAAATAGCGGACTACCATGGCTGCTACCATCACCCCCCTACCCCAGCTCAAGCTTGATACGGCTGGCAAGGACCCGATTCCTAAATGGGTACCGCCACCGGAGACCAAGGAGGACCTCGAATGGCAGGACTTGCGTGTCCTCGATCTTGCTCTGCTGGATGGTACGCCTGAGCAGCAGAAGCAGGTTGAGCAGACCTGCAAAGATGCCCTTACCGACGAGGGTTTCTTGCTCATTATAAACCACGGTGTCGACGACGAGACTATGCAGCGTGTATTTGACCTCGCGAACTGGATCTGCAACGGCGATGCGATGACCGATGAGGACAAGAAGGAGTACGAGTGGGATCGCGAGAATGGCGACTGGATGGGCTATAAGCCACCCAGAGGCTGGGGCGAGGTAAGGCACGGCTCTTGAAGTTATTTCCAGTCTTACGGAGCGTCCCTACTAACGTTATCCTAGAAAGGTCGTGAGGATTATGATCACATCGAGGCATACAACTTCTACGGCGCCTGCTGGGAGAAGAACCGCCTACCACCCAGGATCAGGCCTTATGCCGATGAAATCCTAGCATATGCTGATGTCAGTCCAAGACCTACTGCGCACATAGAAGCTTAGCCGGAATGTTGCCAAGCTTCTCTGCGTTTGCTGCCCTAGTTCAAATGAGAATCGTGACTTACTTGACTGCTGTAGCACATGCACAATCACGTGGGCCGTCGACTACTGCTCCTTCTCTCGCGTATCCTCGGCATGTCCGACGAGGCTCTATGGGAGAAGATCCCAGGCAAGAACGCCATTCTTCCACACTCATCATACTGCCGCTTCCAGGTCTACCATCCACTGAGGGAAGAGGACAGGGCGACGACCGAGAACATCTTGCCGAACCACACAGACCACGGGGCCACCACTTTCCTGCCAAGCCAGCCCGTCAGCTGTCTGCAGATTCTAGGCAAAGACCAGAAATGGCGCTGGGTGCCGTACCGAAAGGGCGCACTTGTGTGCAACCTGGGAGACGTAATGGAGATCCTGTCGGGTGGAATTCTGAAGGCAACGAGACACAGAGGTAAGTTTCCATGAGTTTCCAGCCTGTCTACAATCAACTGACAAAATAACCTGCATCTAGTGTGTAAGCCGCCTGCTGATCAACAAGCCTATGAACGTGTCTCGGTCTGCTCGTTCAACCACGCCGATCAGGAATTGGTCCTAGAACCACTGAAAGGTCTGCTTACTGGCTCTCGTTGATATTCCACAATGTCGCAGTTTCTGACCTTCAAACCATCAGATGCTCCGCTTATCAAGCAAGTGGGAGTGCAGCCCGACTCAGAGGTATATGGTGCGTTTTGCAAAGCGATCGATCGAGGCGAACAGGTACGTAACATTGCTTTTCTATTACTCTTTCAAACAAGAAAAAGGGTGATAAATTGGCTCATATTCTTTGTCAGATCCCTAAATTTGGCGAGTGGAAGACATTGCGTAACAAGAATGCACAAGAACCTACATCCAAGCTTGTTGTCATTGATGGTGTGCCACATAAAGAGCACATCGTAGGTGGTGTCAAAGTGTACCGCCAGGTCTAAATGCGTCGAGTGTTTCTACAATAACCAGGAACCAGGAACCAAGGTATTGGTGAACAAGGAGGTTTCTATGAGCCATAGGCTGTCAAGGTTGAAGTTTATTCTCGTACATTCCCAGACTCAACTTCCGTCTTGCTTAATGGCCTCGATCCATACGCTACGCGCCTCATCTTCTGCGTAGAGGTACTTAGGCCATGAAATGTTCTCCAACGCAGCGCGAGCCTCTGTCCAAGTTGTAACCCCAGTCACATTGCTCCAATACTTGATATACCCGTTCATTTCCTCGCGTAGTAAAATCAAGTCATCATCATCGGCTGCAGTTGGACGGACGGCAAAGCTCATTGCCGCAACAAAGACTTTCCAGAACCACAACTTTTGGTTCTGCTCGTTCCACTCACACAACCACGTTGTCGTCTTGCAGACATCCTCTCTAATGAGGCGGACCAAGTATCGTTGCAAATTGTGATCCCTGGCAACATCGAGGTCCCAGAGAGCGAGGATGCAACCCATATAGAGCGAGGCTCCAGCCACTAATGGGGACCAGGCAGACTTGAGAGGTGGCCTCTCATATGGATCAAACGAACTCTGGCCCTTTCCCCCGATGATAGATGACATGTGGGTTTCAAATAAGAGCAGAAACAGAGCGGTCGCAGTTCCTTCGATCCAAAATTCGTTTAGTTTCCCATCTTCCAGGGGAAAGAGTCTCGCTTCAGATTTCTTGGTAAAATCTGATAACGTATCGACAAATTCCCTTGCATCAATGAGCCCCAAGGATATTCCAGGTTGGGGAACTGAGAAAAAGTAGGGCATCATCATCAGCGCCTTCAATCGATTCTCGAGTCCTGAGTGCTCTTCCCTGTGGCCTTTCCGAATCACAGAGTATATTGCTGTACTATCCTGTGGGTTTATTGGCGTAACATCGGTGACGCGAGTGGAAAGGCCATTGACAAAGATCATGATCCTATCGGGAGGGTTGTTAACAGCGTGACCGTTCTGCAGCAGCTCATTACGCCTTACTTACACCAATACATATCGATTAATCAGTTCTTCTTCAATTCGAGTCGGTCGACAAACCTCAAGTGCCATTGAGCCTATATAGCTCATCAATCCTTTCAAGTGTACCTGGGCTAGAGCAAAATTACCCAAAGCTGCCTGCCATATCCGAGTTAGTATAGACCTCAACTGGAAGACGGGGGTGCAATATGGTACCTCTACGATGCAGTGTGTTGTAATACTCTGGATAATTTTGTTTGACGTTTCCCTTTTATAGATATCTCGCATCCAGCTGTTAATTTCATTCAAGCTCTCGACCTTGTGTAAAAGATATGTCTGTGTGAAGAGTTGCATGCTACCACTACTCCATGAGTAGTGTAGGCTAGCAACAAGCAAGGTATTGCGTAATGCATTACTGTCATGGCCGACAGTGCTGACACTAGATTATAGTTGTTAGCTTCCTTAGCAATGAGAAGGGGGGGGTTAGCTTAACCCACATGTGCTTGGAAGAAGACGGAGACAAGTACTCGCCGCACTTGACAACTACCACGAGATGTGTCAGCTACCAGATTGCGAGTGGGATTCTGCCACAGATATTTACAGTAATGGAGCAGATCCGCAGACTTGAACGGCATTTTCAAAGCTAAAGACTCAAACGGGTCAAGTGGTGCACCAAGAGGTCCATAAATAGGTGCAATCGCCGTCACAACGCGATTGAGGCGGTCCCCAGCTGCATGCCAAGGCGCATTTTGGCCAGGAAGAGTTCTCGATTTCGCCGTCAACTTCCTCTCGTTCAGAGGGATCGATGGGTGAGGATAGATGCATGGTTTCATTGTTACCACACAGCTGGAGCTATCATATGAGACAATCAGTAAGCCACGTGGAACTGGGGTTACATTGCACATTACGACCTCAGGATACGGCCATGTGCCGCAGGAGCGGATAAGCACCTACCAGACGGGCCGCTGTTCATCACATTTCTGGTGAAGCTGCCTGCATGCCGCACACCCTGTTCTGCTTCGCGTAAGGGGCTTCTTGCGATCCTTTCCCTGACTCTTCGGATCTCGGTCCCTGTGAGATTTCTGTTTGCCCGGAACAGAGGTCATGGTAACAAATACAATGTCTCCTCAGTGAAGAATGAGCAAAGTGAAAGATTGAGGTGCGAAAATCCAGCTATGGCTAGGTATTGAACATTACTTGAGCTGGTTCATCAACATCAAGTACCTATGAGGATATAGAGAGCTGGAGCAAAAGGCAGACAGACGGCGGCTCAATATGAAGTCGCCCCACATCCCGGAGATACCGCCAAGATCAAAAACAGAACCTTTCCTAATCGAGAAGGAATTCACGGCAATAATTTGGAATTGCCGAAATGCCGTGACAGACTATGATTAGTCATGGTCTTACTATCCAAAGAAGATTAGTTTGTTGAGAGTGAAACTTTGGGGTCAGCACTAGTCTGTTTTGGGCGGAATAACCGTTGTGCATCAGAATGTCAGATAATGATAGAGCTCGATAAAATATTCATACGAACAATGCAACTGAACAAGTTACTATAATGCAATCTATTAGTTGCTGTTTAATCTAAGAAACTCTAGTTTTTTTTCCAGCCAAGCTTTCTTTCCAGAAAGTCAGTTACTGCTAAATAAGCCCGCAAAGTCCTTACTTCAGAAAGAACATGCTCTTTCACTCAAAGTTATACCTTGGTTATAGGGTAGGCCCCCCTTATCAATGACATCACTGAATTCAGACAGCCTGAGTGAGTCAGCTGTGAGCTATACCTGAATGGGAATCTTGGCTGTAGATCTCATACTCTAGGTTATGTTCAAGCAGTTAATCGACCTCACTCGTCACAATTTATTGAAGACTACCTATGGTATGGTTTGCGTTCCTAGAGTGCATGTATTTTCTACCCTATCGTGAGGTATACTTGTATCTCAGTCTCATGGTTGCCCAGCTCCTTTAAAAATCATATCGATCACATCATCTGTGCGATTTCTCGCTACTTTCAGAGAATCTGCTGCGATCACACACTCCATATTTTCAACAAGCGTGTCTTCCAGGCTTCTGAACCCGTCCCGTCCCATCTGCCGCAACACATCGGCTGCACGACCATTGTCTACCTCACCGATATCCAGGGTTTTCTCCTCGCCGGGGACAACCATATTCTTGCGCTCCGGGAATCGTCGACGGAGGATCTCAATGATCTGATTCCAGGAAAATGTCCCCGCCATGGACATGAGCCTCTCATTCTGCACATCCTCCAGGGTCAAGGCACCTAAATGCAGCAGAGCTGTGTCTTGAACGTTGACATACAGCTGATGAGGGATCAAGACCGGTCCGAAGGGTATGCCCTTGTCGAGTGCGTTGACAAAGCAACCACTGCCTTTGAAGCCGAGATACTCGATGGCTTCGACTTTGCCAAAGTTGACGTTGGGAAGGACACTGTTGAAAATAAAGTGCGGCTTGTTTTTGCGGACAAATTCCCACGCGCCGCGTTCCGCCAGGCACTTTGCTGCGCCATACACCAACATGCCACGGACTTGAGGCGAGTGCGCATCCGCTGGCTTCTTGAGTTCCTCAATGGCTTCATCGTTCCACGTATCCTTTGTGATTCTGTAAGGTGTTCCAGGGATTTCGTTGATGCACGCCGCCCTTGCGGAGGTCAAAACGACGCGTTTCACACTTGGCTCCTTGGATGCTGCCTCGAGTAGTTGGTTCACACTTTGAATGGCGGCATCAACAATGGTCGGATCAGGCTGAAGGGTCACATTGGCGCCCATGTGGATGATGCCATCCACGCCCTTGACGGCCTCGTTGAAAGCACCGTCGGCGGCAAAGTCGGGTACCTCGGCAAGGGTGAAGTTGGGGCCATAGTAAGACGGCATCCAGCTGAAGTTAGAAATGGAACGGACGGTGCCTCGGACCTTGTAGCCACGGTCAATCAGCACTTTGGCGGTTACGCTGGCGATGTAGCCGTTGGCTCCGGTAAGGAGAATGAGTCCATTGGGAGGTACAACAGGCATGTTGATTGATTTGAGGGTTCAAGTGGGAAAAAAGGGCGATATTGTGGTTAAATTCCAAGTCAGAACGAGTGGGAGAGCAGGGAATTTATACTTGGTGAGATGCCCTGGAGTTAATTTTAGATAGGACTCTAGAATACTTGTTCGACAACATATTCGCACACTGGTGGTACGTGAATCCAGCATCATCTTGCTAGATTCATAAGCCTATACTTGAGAAAGTATCGGTCAAGCTATCTCGGGTTAGTTGACTGGAGTTGTACCCTGCCATCGCAACGGATGCTGACTGGTACATGGGTTGCCCCAGGTTAAAAAGAACGGAGCAACAGCACACTTTACCGAAAAGGTCAGATTAACCGTTGTGCAGATTGACTGGCTAGCCCCGGAAGCCTCGGGTCTTCAGATGTAACCTCCTGAGTTCTCCCTGGCTTCAAGTAGACGAAACCTTCCTGCTATCTGGGGGAAACAATCTTCTTTGCTCCAAAGATAACATCGATAATGCTGATGCGATGGGACCAATACCGATATTCCTCTGGGTTGAACATCCTCTTGTACTAAGTGTTGCAAACTCGCACGTTATCCAATGCGAATACGCTTGAGCTTCTTTTGCTTTACCAATCTCAAAATCTCCTCTTGAGGATCATCCTGAGACAGCCTAGATGTGCAAGTAAAGTCGACAAGTTTGGCAAATTTCCGGCCGTTCTCATCACGAAAGTCGTCTCGCTTCCGGGTCAATGCGGGTATAGGAAGCCATGGCGACACCATTAAATGATCGCCGTCTTGCATTTCTTCGGAACATATGCCAAAGAGGCCAGATGAGGCCATGAAAGCTTTCTTATTTGTAAGAGAAGCAGATTTATTTTTGTATAATGGGAAAGTGTCGAGTACACTCCACACATCCTCGTGCTGTACATCAGCAGTTGGGTCTTCTTCAGAAAGTTCATTATACAGTTCGTATGGATCAAAGATAGAACCAACGAAATCGTGGCCCAAACAAGCATAGTTCAGCTGTTTATGGATGCCTGATACCTCGACAGTCTGATTTTTGTAGCCTGGTAAAACCTTTAATGAAGCGGTTAGATCTATAGCCACGCCAAGCATAGCCCTGAATGTTGTAACCCAGCTTCCCGTTACGTCGCTATGGAAGTGAAAGAGGGTTTTGCAATTTCCAAGATCTCTGGCGTTAAAGGACAAGACATTACCGTCTATTGATGGCGGCACTCTAGTTTCTTGGGCACGTGTGTAACCCCATGGGTAAAACCCAGCTGGCTGATGGCGAGTGAGATCAGGAAGCCAGGATGGATAGCTATCGCTATCCTCCAGCCTCGTGTTTCGAAGTGGCCAGCTAAGGACTAGAAATTCCAAATGCTCGGGATAATGCTCGAGAAGATAGCATATTGTATCCATCAATACCTGCTCTGGAGGTTTTCTGTAATCAGCCGGATAAGCTGCTTCTAATCCAGGAGCAAGGGAATACAAAGCAAAGATTCTGTCACGAGGGTTGAAGCACTTCCGATGACTAGTGCTTTGTAATAAAGTAGGGAGGCCAAGGCCCGGGTTTTGGAAACCATAACGAGCCGCCACAAGACGCGCTGAGTTGCTTGCAGGGTCATAAGTGTTCGAAAATTCAAGAAGCTCTTCTTCCAACTTGTTACGCAATTCGCTGTTGAAAAACTTGTATATCCCGGCTCCTGAAACAATAGGTCGGTATTTCTGAGGTCTCGAATACTGTCCAATCCATTTCGATGTCCTGAAGCGAAATGATTTCTGACCAATGACAAATACTGGTGGGTTTTTAGCTAGTGCCAGCTCTTGGACTGTCCACATGCGCTGGAAGTACTCAGTCCACCAGAACGCGTATTCTGCTTTCAGAAGCCGAAGGTTGAATAACTGGTACTTCATATATCTCCTCGGTGTGAGCCATGATAAGCCGTGCTTCATAGCCCATTTAAGCGAAAAGCATTTGGGAGTGTTAGAATTATAAACCTCTGCCCATTCAGCAAAGAATTCAAGCTCTGGCGTTCCATCAATGCCCGGGCATCCAATGACCTCAGCTGCTTCAGTATAGATCCGGCCCATCAGCGGAATTTGGCTGTTTTTCTCAAGAATGTCAACTTGATTGATGCAAATAGCGTCGGCCCAAATGACTCGGGGGCTGAGTGGTGATCTGAGTGATTGTAGGGCAGAGTTCAGATTTCTGGTAACTGGATGGAGGTTTCCATCCACAGTAATATCGACTGTGAGGGAGGCATCCCCCCACACGTAGGAGAGAGCCTCATATTTTGGCTTGTTGTCGAGCGACACTACAGAAACTGAGCAGATGAGGCTATCGCCCTGCTCGCCAGGTTCAATTCTTAGAAGTCTGATCTCCGACACATCGCTGTTTAATGTAGTGTATGTGATAGCCATTGAGGCTGTTTTAAACATGTGTAGGATAAGGAGAGCTTGGAAGAGAAGGGGAGTGTTTGGAAAGTAAGTTGAAAATAACGCGACTTTAGCCCTGTCAGAAAAAAGCATAGAAATCCCACGGCAACCTTCTTTTTGTTCTTCGAAAATAACCAATCATATGGAGCGCTTAGGATGAGTAATGTGCCAAGACCTTGCTGAGACGGTGATGCGTCCAACAAAAGTACATCCCTCAGTCATCTTGGGTTGTCTCTTCGATAGTATTTGTGAGCTCATGGATGGACTTACTGCATATGCAGACACAACAACACAATGGGTTTCTTCAAATTCTTTGTTTTTGTTAGACAGTGATGTATGCTTATCATACACCGACAAGTTGTCGCGATTGACAGCTAACTCGTGAGGCTAACCGCGACAGCCAAGTCAGAGCCTCAGCTATGGGCTGCCGTGATTGACAGCCAATCCGTAAGCTTTCTTAGACACGTAGGACAGTGATGAACAGCTAATTAGCCTAGCAGCCCGCCATGGCAAGCCACTCGAGGCATCACTTGCCTCTGAGCAATCTCCACCCTTGATCGCCAATCGCCTGAATGGCGCCTCCCTCCCGTACTAAATGTATCTAACCACCTGCAGCAATTGCTCTGTGGCATATCTTGTGCTTACCTTCTCCTTTCTACATAGGTTGTTAGGCTTTAACGTTAGCTCTTGCAACTCCATTTTAAAAGTATTTCTCCACTGAGATGAAGGCATCGCCATCCACCATGGTCTCATCCCTCCCCTTCCTGACCTCCACCCAGGTGCTGAGTCTACTAAGAGAGAACACCATCAGCGTCGAAGCCTATGCGGTGTCTCTACTGGAGAGAATTGAAGAGAGAGACGGTATTGTCAAGGCATGGACGTATCTTGGTGAGCTATCCTTCCTGTCCGCCGCTGCTAATGTAGCTCAGTATATACTGATCTCCCTCCTTTGCAGACTCTGCATTTGTCCTCGCACAGGCTCGAGCCCTCGATAACATCCCCCAGCACGAAAGGGGACCATTGCATGGGCTGGCTGTGGGCGTTAAAGATGTCATGAATACTAAGGGTAAGTTCATGCATTCTTCTTGGTTTTTGATCGGTAGCCCTGTGCGTTGTGGAGGACTACCTACTGATTCGTTACTCTTGTGCGAGGTAGATCTGCCGACGGAATTTGGGTCTCCCATATACAGGGGACACCAGCCAGGTTTTGATTCGTCAGCAGTTGCTATTTTACGTGCTGCTGGCGCTTTGATTTTTGGTAAGGCGTGCTGGCGGATACTCCTTGGCCCCGTATCCCTTCTAGCTAATCTTTTCATAGGCAAGACAACTACAACGGAATTCACAGAGGCCAACTCTGGACCAAACACAACAAATCCTTGGGACCCGACCCGGACTCCAGGCGGCTCATCGTGCGGCTCTGCGGCCGCAGTGGCTGATTTTCACGTCCCCTTGGGCCTCGGGACGCAAACTGGTGGCAGCATCATCCGCCCAGCCTCGTATACTGGAGTCTTCGCGATGAAGCCAACACATGGCGCCATATCCACTGAAGGGCAAAAGGCGTTTGCTCCGACTTTTGACACGTTTGGCTTTTTCGCTCGTTCTGTTGAGGACCTACAACTCCTCGCAGACATTTTTGGCCTCAAGGATGACGAACATCCGAGAGACATGTCGCTGAAGGAAATATCCGTCGCGATAATGAAGACGCCGATGTGGAGCCAGGCCGGTCCTGGTACAGTGGCAGCCATGGAAAAAGCTGCAGCCATTCTTCGGGAAGGGGTTATAGAAGTCACGGAAGTCCCGTTTACAGATGAATCCTCAGATCCAGACGCGCTCGAGGGCATTCAACACAAGATCATTCGCGGCGAGGCGCAGGCAGCATTTCTCAGGGAGTATCGGGTGGACAAGGCTAATTTATCTCCTGAGGTGTGCCGCCTCGTCGAGAATCACTCCAATTATACGCGCAAGGAGATTGTCGAGGCATCAGATGTTTACAGTCAGATGAGGCACAGCATGAATAAACTGGCAGAGAACTACTCCGTCATCCTTACGCCCAGTGCTGTGGATGAAGCCCCGTTGGGGCTTGGTGATATGGGCGCCGCGACTTTCAATACCATGTGGACGGTGAGTCCTAGTCTTTCTCTTCATGAAGATTAATGCCTAACATGGCACAGGGGTTTCACATGCCAGTCATCAACATACCTGCGTTCGTTGGTGTCAATGGAATGCCCGTTGGGGTGTCACTCGTTGCGCCAAGGTTCCGTGATCAGCACCTCCTGCGGGTCAGCAAGATCGTTGGCGACCTCTTGATGGCTGAAGGGGGATGCAAGCCACGCGTCAGTTGAGCTGGGTTTGATGATGGGGCGGTGTCTGGATCTGTGCACCGGTTGTCCTTTGGCTGTCGCATCCCTATTTAGTTTGCAACATTCAAGGCTTTGTGAAGTACAACTCAATCTTAACGGATAATTTGGGGTGGTTCAATATCCTTTCTTCCCTTCGAGGGCGATTTTGAGTCCCCCGAAGTAGTCAGTAAATCGACATTCCCCTTTTGATTGCGCAATACTCCAATACTGTGGTTCTTTTCATAAAGACAACTAGACCTTAGTCTTAAAATAGTGAGGGATTCACATTTTTCTTTTTCAGCAGCCACCATATAACCTGCATAGCCCCTATCTTAATTACTGACTGGTCTGATAACATGATTTGAGTCAATTCTGTCTTATTGAACTACACGCCGAGTATGAAGATGGTGATATGGTCAGGATAAAGGTAAACATATCTTGCGAAAGAGTTCTTATCGGGATGAAACAAGCGATTGGACAAATGCTCCTACGTCCCGATAGAGGAGTTCGGGAGACTAACAAGCAAGAGATAATTACATACAGAGGTTACGTAAATCTATATCCTCGGGGATCTAAAACCGTCTTATTGCTGAACTTACCAACCGGTCTAAAGACCCTTATTACAGCTTAAAATCACCGCGCTCGTGTTGCGCCTGCAAGATTCCCCACAGGTATTTCCCCAGCGAAGACAGACTCTGGGGGAGCGGAGGCCGTACGCCAATATTGTCAGGCTGGGAACAGAGAAAAGGATACTACTGCTCAGGTGACTTGATGAGGGATAAATAGAAGCTCAAGACTCGCAGCACATTTTCAAAGACCCAAATTGCATGGTATTTTGCCAGAAATCACGACTGAAATCACGCCATGTACTTTCTCCGCGGAATCGCACAAACGTGGCGTGGCCGATCTCCCGGTCTCTCTCTCGCCATAAATCTCGATCTAATTGACAATTACACGTCTCTGATTTGCTGAAGTCGACTTTTTTGCGGCAGGCCCTTTTTACCGGGGGTCAGGAGACATTTGCGCTAGAATTCGCGATCTTTGAATTTCCGTGAATCGTTTCTCCGCGGACCGTTGAACGTTCTCCACTAACCGCGGCCTCGAGATTGAACCATGGGCGTTCACTCGGCCTCATTAGTCTTAGCCTAGCATGTGGTGGTAAAGATAAGGGTTCCATTAGGCCGGCCGAGATTATGTTGCTTCAAAAACACAAGATTGAAGAAAAATGAGAGATAACGAGATATTGGTGGTGAATGTAGCGTAGCAGTCATAAGAGTCGGTGTATTCCGGATGTCCCCTTCTTCGCAGGAAAGGGGGCAAAGTGGTCCAGAATAATATCCATTTATTTACATGTTATAAATACACTCCTCTCCCGTTCCCTTCCGAGCATCAACCCATCTGGTCGAGTCGATATCATCTCATCTCCACAGAGCCTGTGTCCAAAACCACCACCAACGCTATGGAGGTTCCGTTAAGGAAACGTGTTGCTGTTGTTGGCCATGGCATGGTTGCCAGCGCTTTCATTGAAAAGCTCCTCAATTACGATGCCCGAGACGAGTGGGAGATTACTGTCTTTGGTGAAGAGCCCTACATTGCCTACAACCGTGTTGGCCTGACACAATATTTTGCCACTCGTTCCATCGAAGATCTCTACCTCAATCCTCTTGCCTGGTACTCGTCATTTCCAGAAGGGAAATTGAAGCACATCATATCAGATCCTGTTACATCTATCGATGCTAGTGCGAAGACTCTCAAGACATCCAAGGGCATTGAATTTGTCTACGACGAGTGTGTTCTTGCTACAGGCTCTAGTGCTGCATTGCCGCCGTTCCTCTCACGAGATCGGTTCAATGAGACTCGAGGTTCCTTCGTGTACAGGACCATCAAGGATCTAGACGACATAATTGCGTACGCTACGGACGCACCGAAGACCCTTGGTCACCCAATCAGGAAAGCAGCCGTCATCGGCGGCGGCCTCCTTGGTCTGGAAGCTGCCAAAGCGCTCCTTGATCTGGGGGAAGTTGGTCAAGTCATTCTGATCGAGGGTGATGGCTGGCTCCTTAGCCGTCAACTTGACCAGGAAGGCGGGAACCTAGTCTTACAGAAAGTAAAGTCTCTAGGTGTTGAAGTGTATCTTGGGGCGCGCGTGCAGAGCCTCCTCTGGGACAGCGAAGAGAGAGTCAATGGCCTTGTCCTCCAAGGGAAAGGTGGCGAGCCTGATCAGCAGGTCGAGATTGATATGCTCGTCTTCTCTGTCGGCGTTAGGCCTCGTGATGAGCTGTCAAAAACTACAGGCCTTGCCGTCACCCAACGCCCAGGAGGCTTCATCGTCGACACACAACTGCGCACCAACCTGCCAAATATCTATGCTATTGGCGAGTGCGCCAACTATCTCGGTCAGGCGTACGGTCTGATTGCGCCTGGTGTTGAGATGGCTGACATCCTCTCCTTCAACTTCACCGAAGGTCCGCATCACAACCTCCGGCACTTGCAGGTGCCTGACCTCAGCACCAAACTCAAGCTGATGGGCGTCGATGTCGCTTCTTTCGGTGACTACTTCGCTGATAGAGGTATGATCAGTAAGCCAATTCCAGGCACCACTCCGCGCGCAGCACGAGCGAACGGTGCTTCTCAAGGACAACCTACTCTTTCTCCAGAGGAGATCAAAGCCAAGGTCAATGCTGTCACATATCGGGACCCTTTCTCGAGTATATACAAGAAGTATATTTTCACCACAGATGGTAAATATCTTCTTGGAGGAATGATGGTTGGTGACGTTAAAGACTACGTCAAGCTTGTAGCAATCTGTCGGAAGGGCTCTCCCATGGAAAAGCCCCCGTCACAATTCATTCTCGGAGCCAAAGCAGATGGCGAGGAGGAAGGAGATGATCTTCCAGACGATGCCCAGGTCTGCAGCTGCCACAATGTCTCCAAGGGCGCCATCACCCAATGCGTCAAGAATGGCGCGCGGTCCTTTGGCGAGGTCAAGACAAGCACCAAGTGCGGAACCGGCTGTGGAGGCTGCGTGCCACTTGCAACGAGCATCTTTAACCGTGCCCTCGTGGCGGCTGGTGTTGAAATTTCTAACCACATCTGCAAGGATTTCGCTTATTCCCGTCAGGATCTATATCAGATCATCAAATTTAGGAAACTCAAGGATTTCTCTGCCGTTATGAAGGGTGTGGGAAGGAAGCCCGATAGTCTCGGCTGTGAAGTCTGTCGACCTGCTGTTGGTTCGATCCTAAGCTCCGTTTATAACGAATGGATTATGAAGCCGTCACTCCGCCAAACGCAGGATACGAATGACCGATATCTCGCCAACATGCAGCGAGACGGAACCTATTCTGTCGTTCCGCGACTGCCAGCTGGTGAGATTACACCGGACGGTTTGGTCGTCATCGGGCAAATTGCTGCTGAATATGGCCTGTATACCAAGATCACCGGCGGCCAGCGTATTGACATGTTCGGAGCCAAGAAGCAGGACCTCCCCCAGATCTGGGAGAAGCTTATCAAAGCCGGCTTCGAGAGCGGCCACGCGTACGGCAAGGCTCTGCGCACCGTCAAGTCTTGTGTGGGCAGCACATGGTGTCGATACGGCGTTGGTGACTCGGTCGGTCTGGCCGTGGAACTCGAGCAGCGGTACAAGGGTCTGCGGGCGCCCCATAAGCTGAAGGGCGGTGTGTCAGGGTGTATTCGGGAGTGTGCAGAAGCCCAAGGGAAGGACTTTGGGTTAATTGCGACGCCAAAGGGGTGGAATGTCTACGTTGGTGGTAATGGCGGCGCGAAACCGCGGCATGCCGAGCTGATTGCTGAGAATGTCACTCGACGAGAGGCCGTGAAGATCATTGACCGCTTTATCATCTTCTATATTCGGTCAGCGGATAAATTGGAACGAACTGCACGTTGGGTTGAGAGGTATCCGGGCGGGTTGCAGGGTGTTAAGGATGTTGTTGTCAGTGATAAACTTGGTATCTGCGCTGATCTTGAGCAAGAGATGGACAGTCTTGTTGGCACATACCACTGCGAATGGACCGAGGTTGTGAATAACCCCGAGCGTCGGCGTATGTTCAAGCAGTTCGTCAATACGGATGAGGTACAGATTGAGAGCGAGAAAATCACACAGCGGAAACAGCAGCGCCCCGCGGACTGGTCAGACAAAGAAAGCCCGTTACGATTTAGCATCCACGATGTGACCAAGGATGCGAAGTGGGAATGGCGACCAGTCTGCAAACTCTCGTCGTTGGACTGCCAGGATGCTTCGCCTACCTCGGTGACTATCAAGTACGGCAACGTCCAGCTGGCAGTCTGGAATATTCCCGGCCGCGGCCTCCGAGCAGCGCAAAATATGTGCCCTCATCGGCGAGCGTTTGTCTTGTCTGATGGCTTGGTGGGAGAGGACGCCAACGGAAATGATTATGTCTCCTGCCCACTACATAAGCGAAATTACCAGTTGAATTCAGACCCAAATCAGGGCGGCGGCAGTTGCTCAGATAGCGACTACTCAATCATGACCTTCGAAGCAAAACAGGATCTCGAGAACGACCAGATTCTCCTCAAACTCCCACCTACGGAGGCCCTTGACGCAATCCTCTCCACGTCGAAATGGATGTTGCTCAAGGCCAAGGAAGAGTCAGACTTACTCAATGGAGACTCCAATCATTCTATTGAGTTTGCCGAGCCTCGCAGCCGCATGGATGCCACGTCAGTAGATGAGTCTCGTCCCGCCGTTGCTTGTGGTGGGGGTTCCAATCTTGAGTGGTAGATAGACTTACGTTCGGAGTTTAGAATTGGCGGTATATATTTAGAGAGTAGATCTAGGGTTGTCTGGATAATGCTTTTGTTTTCATATCTTTGTTATTTGCAAATATGGTATGTATTGAAGATGATAGAGTACTAAAGTCAATGGAAGATACGCTTCCCATGACAAGTTATCCTCTTGAAATACATAGGGTCGGACAAGCAATTGCATAATGCTTACAGGCTTGGCTACTAATAGTTATGGAACGAAGGCTTCTTGGCTGTTTCAGTCTTCCATCTCTACGCGGATGGCCTAATGTTATCGATGATCGTCATCACCGTGAAGTCCTACTCAGTAAATACGTACTAGCTTGGACTCAATCGCATGGCTGCAGAGGGCCACACAAGCCCATCCTCATCTAGGGTGATTTCAACCTGAATGTGACATTTTGTTTTGAAATTCTTGAGCCTAGACCTTACCCATAGGCGTTGGAATGACCTGAAACCTAAGCGAAGTAACCTTGAGCCACCGTGTGTCTCGTAAATTGACTGGGTTAGCATGGTGGTAGATGGCAAATGATAGCATTTTAGTACGAGGTTGGGTACTTCCAGGGCCCTTCGTATTCAGGAACTTCGTGTACAACGCCGCCTTGACCTTGACAAGCTGTGCTGTTGAATCAGGACAAGGCCTGAGCCTATTCAGGACCCCTTTCAAGATGATCGCTTACAGGATACAGACCGATTCAGGCTAATCTGATGTTGCTCGGCTCACAACAACGCTGAGGAGCTAAGTTTCTTGGCCACGGTGGCGGCACGGTGGATGGGCCCTTGAAGGTCTCTGTTTATCTCCAGAAGAGGAGGAATGACCTTTTGCATTAACTACCTGATTGTTTGAACGGCAAGGGTGAACAGAAAAAAGTGGCTTCCTTAAGGCACGGGTTACATTATTCGGCATTGTTATTGCGCCGCTGTGATCAGTCTTACCACCTTCGGCAACTGTGTGGCCTCTTTTGAGGGAGCTTGTAGGTGTTGCTCTGGATGAAACCAGTGGCTGTGCCTTTCAAAAATACGCGTTGAGAAGTCTCATTATTAACGCCATAAACAGTAAGCATTATTGCGATATTGACACAACATGAGTCACAGCCTATCCATGGAAGCTCGTAGATTCATGCATTAACTTTCTCAGCAGATCAGTTGATTAGGCCCCAAAAAAAGAAGGAAGTCATGTTGTCCAGATGATTTTCTGCTCAGTCGTAGCATAGCCTTGCTCACATTAGTTCAATAACGTGAGATAAAGGCAGAGAATGTCAGGGATCTAGCATCAACCACAGGAAATACAAAAAGTCCTACGTCATTAATCGTTATAACCTTAACTAAGAGGGGTCCTCTCCTAGTTAAATCGAGGAATCGTGTTGTTCAAACCAATCGGCGACTTTCGTCATAAGCTCTCAACGGATGAATGTGGTAATTGCTTACGGGCCATGATGCCTGATTCGGCCCCCATGATACATCGCGGCGCTTGCCTGGACATAGTCACACCGCCAAAACGAGCCAATGACGGTTCTCTCTTCTGCCCTTTGGTTGATCAACCGCACGATCCGGGAGAGTTGAGACCCCAGGAAATGGAATCGTGGCGGAGACCTTGAAAAATGCATCTAGTTTGAGACGTGTTGATGTTGAAGAATATATCCAGTCTTAGAGGTGCTGATCCCGAAGGATACGTCTTGATACAGAAGTACTGATTCAAAAGAGATTTAGGAAGGAATAAGGCCCCCAAACATGACTCCATCTGCAGAAGCGATCAGCTGTCATAAAACCATGCCGTCAGAAATTAAGCTCCCACGCATGAATTTACACCAAGTTTCCTGAGGCACAACTTCATTGATTAAAACTCTATTTGTCGTAACGAGCGCAGATCATTAGAAATTTGAAGACTTCGGAGATGCTACAGTGGCAGTCTGCCTTGCCGAAGAAGAAGATCATGGGCTTTTGTTGCCGCGAAAAGGAACTTTGAAAACACCTTCAGCGTATAGCATCATAACCATCACGTAACGATAACCTCGTAGCTAGAAGATCTCTTTCTAAGGTAGAGGTAAGAGGAAACTTGTAATGGAAGATGCTTTGACTGAAGAACAAGGAGGCGATGAGCTGCCTTTAATGAGGTTCTAGCGATGTCTATAAAAGCTCGAGACTCTCGCTCTGATAAACTATTCTTTCTACCAACAAACTCATCGATTCTAACATTTGAGCAATCAATTCAAACTTCACTCACATTTTACAAAAATCACCCATCATCACCCACCTACCAATCCAAAATGAAGCCTGCCACCATTTTCTCTATCATCGCCGGATTTGCTGCTACAGCTAATGCTGGCTGCTACTCTGGCGGCGAGCCGTGGGGTGACAAGGCTACTGCCCTTGCAAAGGCCGAGCAGGCTTGCAGAGAGTCTCTGACTGGCACCTACGGCAGCTCGGGATCGGGCAATGGCCACCGACACCGTTGCATCAACGCCAATAACAAGGCGTTGAACTTTGAAATCTGGCACGTCAAGGGAGGTGATCGAAACTTGGCCTTGGCCGAATGCAAGGACGGCCTCCAGAAGGAGGTCAACGGCTGCAACACTGGCGGCGACACCACCTATACCAACTGGCGCTACAAGTAAGATGTGTTTCTCTCCATTAGTTCAGCACTGAAGAATACTAACAGATCTTGAACAGGGGCGATCCCAACGCTGGAAACTGCTAGAGCACTAGCTTTCACTATCGCTTTAGAGCCTCCCTTGTGAAGTTACTTGGCTCTTGAGTATTCGAAGGATTTGATGTTATTAGATAGAAACTCTTTGCTTATGCTTAGAGGTTTTATTTTGGTTCAGTAAATTCTTCACCTAAATAGTTGTCATCGAGTCTTCATTTGTGGGCGACTAAGCAGCTTTTGATAGATTAACGCGGCAACATTGCCGACTTGATAAATTGAAGCTCTTGATGACAGATTATCAGTCATTCCTATGTCAATTCAAAATGGAAGTAAGGGAATTTTCCTTACTAACTGATACGTGTGAACAATTAGAGAGACGAAGTAAGTCTACTATACTAAGATGATGAGAACGCAAAGTGGTCCATGCGCGTTGGGGACCAAGCAAACACAACCAGCCAGCATGGCAATGATTTCGTGCGATTCGCAATAAACGAAGATACCGCGGTCTCGGAGATAGGAACCCCGAGGATCCTATATTAATTGGTTCAAATTTAGTAGCACTGTATAATTGGAAAAACTTCTTCTATACCATTGTCATACTTGGTTATCTGGAATTATCTGTTGCATTAAGCTAAGGTGTCGAGGCAAACAACCCATATCCACCCTGCTCATACTCTCAACCAATACACCTCTATTTCTTCTGGTTGTTATCGGTTTCTGGGGGGCAATTCTCTTGGTCTAGTCTCTGGACGACATCTGCTTCTTGGCTCGGCAGATATTTGAAAACGATAGGCAGAATTGCCGCAAGAATGGCAGCGGCGCCGAGGACAGCATTAGAAGCCGCAAACCCCTTCAGGTTTCTTGGGCCCTCCGACGCGGGCCACAGGTAACTTCCGTAGATGTAGCTAGTGTGACCGAATGAATTGACAAAGGCAATGGCAATCGAACGCTTTCTCTCCGGTTTGGCCATGACTTCACTAGTCCAGTTGAGAATCAGGGGCACCGTGGTGAACATGCCTCCGATGAGGAAGCACATCATGACGTACTTGACAGTATTGTTTTGGACGACGATAGCGATGAGGCAGGAGATGGCCGAGAGTGAAAGCAGACCAGTGATGTGCCATCTGCGGTCTCCAGTCTTGTCAGAGGTCCATGACCATCCGAGCTGGAAAACAGCACCGCACGCCCAGATGGGAACAGTCATCCATTGGGCATTGATGCTACTATATCCAAGACACTTAAGCATGGTGGGTATGAAGTACGAGATGGTCAGACCGAGGATGTTGCAGGTATAGAGAGCCAAGAATAACCAAGTCTTAGGGTCCTTGAGAGTGACTGCCACGGCCTGGAGTGGGGTTAGGTTATCCTCCTCACGTTGAACAGTTTCGTTTCGATCGGCTAGGATGCGAACATGGCCCAGAATCCTTTGCTCGGGAGTCAGCATCCGGGAGTTGCGAGGGTAGTCGGGCAGCACGAAATAGAGGCCGAATCCGCAGGCGACGGTAACGACACCCTCAATGAGCAGCAGCCATCTCCAGCCTGGGATTCCACGCGCGCCCTCGAGCCGAGAAATTACGGCTCCGGCCATGATACCACCGAGAGCGGGTGCCACACAGCCGGAGGTGTAAAAGATGCAGAATCGTTTCCCTGCGATGCCAGACATGTCAGCTACCTAGATAACGGGCTTTGGATAGTTAGGGCACCGAAACTACTCACCAACTTCCTTCTTGGTGTACCAGCAGGTAAGAAGGAACAGGGCACCAGGGAAGAGACCGGCCTCAATAGCACCGAGGAAGAACCTGCCGGCAAGGAAAGCAGAAGGAGTCTTGCTCTGGGACATTCCGATGATCACACTACCCCAGACGACACAGATGGTAGGCAAGTAGATGGAGGGTTTGATTTTCATCAAAAGCATATTGGAGGGGACCTCGAAGAGAACGTAGGCGACGAAGAATAGAGACACGAGCTGAGAGTATTCTAATGGCGCAGGCTTGTTAGTTTCTATAGACCTTCATGGATGGTGGAGGCTAGCAACTCACGGTTTTCGCTGAGTCCGAGATCCTGACTCATGCCGGCAGCGTTGGCATTGGCCTTTCGAACTGGATGTCAGTTTCTTCTCTCACAGCCTGTGTGCGAAGAGCTGATACTCACAATATTGCCTCGGTCAAGGTACGCAAGAATGTACATCCACCAGAGGAGTGGTAGCAGAACCATGTCAGCCTTTCTGACAAGCCGTCTCTCCTCAGCCGTGTCTGGGACATAACTCTGGAGGGCTGCGATGATTTCTGTATCCGCTAGTGACATGTCGTTACCAGCCATCTTGGACTCCT